CCTGAGATTATTATTATTATCAGTTATCTAGTACCCATAACACAAGCTTTAGCTAGCTTAACTTGGGTCTAGATGGCGCTGTGTGAATTATCCTGAGATTATTATTATTAATATAATTGTACACACAGTCGTACATATACAATTTTACTATATCATTTTGACTATATAAAGATATTATTGTAGTCTATATAATCAATTATATACTGTACTAGCTATACCTGCGACTTAGTCCGCGTGCAAATTAACTTCATTTTCTAAAATAAAAGTAGCCTAAGTTACTCCTTATTACATCAGCTACCTGCCAATAAAAATCGGTTCAGCTATAAAGATTAGCCAGCACAAACACAGACAGACAGACAAAAATTGTAAAAAATGTTATTTTGGTGTATGTACCGTATTTATATTCATATGCATGTAGTAAAAAAAGGTTATTTCAATATTACAAACAGACACTGCAATTTTAGTTATATGTATAGATGTATAGATAATACAAGTAATTAATTATATGGTTTGATTTGAAAACAATTAAACTATGAAGTTATTTTTTTTAATTAATTGCCAAATTGGTAACCAATTACATTGTAGTCTATACTGTATAATAATATTATAAAGCTGAAGAGTTTGTTTGTTTGAACGCGCTAATCTCAGGAACTGCTGAGCTGAATGGAAAAATAAATGTTTGGGGTGGAAATCCCTTATCACGTAGGGGTATGAAAAATAGATAGTAGCCGATTCTCAGACCTACTGAATATGCGTATCATTATATAGTATAAAACAAAGTCGCTGCCGCTGTCGATCCCTATATATGTTTAAATCTTTAAAACTACGCAACGAATTATATATTATTAATGTATTGAATAATAGGTAGAGTGATTCAAGAGGAAGGTTTATATATATAATAAATATAATACCCGTGCAAAGCCGGGCCGAGTAGCTAGTAAAATGTTATAAAAATCGTTCAATCCGTTTCGCATTAGTATGGTAACTAACATTATATATAAGACTAGCTTTTCCCGCGGCTTCGCTTGCGTTAATTTATCCCCTTATGGGTGGAATTTAGCAAAATCCTTAGGGGATGCCTACGTCATAATAGCTTTATGCACGCAAAGTCCCATCCCTATTGGTTGAAAATTGACAAAGTTTCATACAAACTTTCATCCCCTATTTTATCCCCTTGGGGGTAGAATTAATCAAAATCCTTTCTTAGCGGATGCCTACGGCATAATAGCTTTATGCATGCAAAGTCCCATCCCTATTGGTTGAAAATTGACAAAGTTTCATACAAACTTTCATCCCCTATTTTATCCCCTTGGGGGTAGAATTAATCAAAATCCTTTCTTAGCGGATGCCTACGGCATAATAGCTTTATGCATGCAAAGTCCCATTCCTATTGGTTGAAAATTGACAAAGTTTTATACAAAGTTTCATCCCCTATTTTATCCCCTTGGGGGTAGAATTAATCAAAATCCTTTCTTAGCGGAAGCCTACGTCATAACATCTACCTGCATGCCAAATTTCAGCCCGATCCGTCCAGTGGTCTGAGCTGTGCGTTGATAGATCACTATGTCAGTCACCTTTGAGTTATATATATTTAGATAAGATACATATAAAACATATTATTATTCTAGAGTTTCACTATTTACGATGTAGGAATGTTTTTCAAGTACTAGTAGTAAATAATGCTAATCGTTACCTTCCGGTTATAGTCGAATTACTTTCGTAACGGCTTCAAGGTTTTTTTTATAAATTAACTTAGATCTTAGATAGATTGTGTTGTGTGTACTAGACGACTGATGTGAATATAATAATAATAATCTCAGGACAATTCACACAGCGCCATCTAGACCCAAGATAAGCTAGCTAAAGCTTGTGTTATGGGTACTAGATAACTGATAATAATAATAATCTCAGGACAATTCACACCGCCATTGTGTACAGCTTGTGTTATGGGTACTAGATAACTGATAATAATAATAATCTCAGGACAATTCACACAGCGCCATCTAGTCCCAAGTTAAGCTAGCTAAAGCTTGTGTTATGGATACTAGATAACTGATAATAATAATAATCTCAGGACAATTCACACAGCGCCATCTAGACCCAAGTTAATCTATCTAAAGCTTGTGTTATGGGTACTAGATAACTGATAATAATAATAATCTCAGGACAATTCACACAGCGCCATCTAGACCCAAGTTAAGGTAGCTAAAGCTTGTGTTATGGGTACTAGACAACTGATACAAATAGTAATCTCAGGACAATTCAAATTATTATATATAAATATCCCTTCGTCTTGAATCACTCTATCTATTTAAAAAACCGCTTCAAAATTCGTTGCGTAGTTTTAAAGATTTAAGCATACATAGGGACAGACAGCGACAGTGACTTTATTTTATACTAGCTGTTCCCGTGACTTCGTCTGCTTGGAATTTTATTTTATTTTTCTAAATAAAAGGATTTTCCTAAAATAAAAGTAGCCTAAGTTATTCTCCATTACATCAGCTATCTGCCAGATATTTCAGAGATTAGCCGGAACAAACAGACAGAGACAAAAATTGTAAATAATGTTATTTTGGTGTATTGACCGCATTTATATTCATATGCATGTAGTAAAAGACGGTTATTTCAATTATTACAAACAGACACTCCAATTTTATTTATATGTATAGATGTATAGACTATGTAATCGTAATGAAGATACCAGTATAAGATAATGTTATGTGTATAGCCATGACAAGTGGTTCTAGTACATGTGTTGGTACCATGACCCTAGAGTACTGTGACACAGCGGCCGTGACACGAGGAGCTGTTGATTAGTGGTAGCATGTCCAACTATTGCGGAGTTTACAGCACATTTTTGCACACAACGTTAACCAAGTTAAGCCAGCTAAAGCTTGTGTTATGGGTACTAGATATCTGATACAAATACATAGATTTTTTTTCGTAAATACATACATATCATAATAATCTCAGGACGATTCACACAGCGCCATCTAGTCCCAAGTTAAGCTAGCTAAAGCTTGTGTTATGGGTACTAGATATCTGATACAAATACATAGATTTTTTTTCGTAAATACATACATATCATAATAATCTCAGGACAATTCACACAGCGCCATCTAGTCCCAAGTTATGCTAGCTAAAGCTTGTGTTATGGGTACTAGATATCTGATACAAATAGATAGATTTTTTTTCGTAAATACATACATATTATAATAATCTCAGGACGATTCACACAGCGCCATCTAGTCCCAAGTTAAGCTAGCTAAAGCTTGTATTATGGGATAACTGATACAAATACATATATATTTTTTGTACATACATACATATATCTAGAAAACACCCAGACTCATACAAAGAATCATACTCATGAATACAAATGTTTGTGCCGTGCGAGGAATCGAACCCGCTAGACTACCGTCTGTCAATATTCGTAATTCATTACCCACGTTCTCCACAATGCTACGACAACCACATGATAGACACTCCATCCACACGATGGTCTCGCACCCATACGATGAACCTCCCATCTACACTATGGACCTGGCAACCACACGAAGGACCCGGTGTCCACAGAATGAACACTTTACCCACACCATGGACCAATCACCCACACGATTGACCAGTCAGGGTGTACTCGGAACCCACACGATGGACACACCACCTACACGAGTTCCCCCACCCACACGTAGGATCCGCCACCCTCACGATGGACTCTCTACCCACACGATGGACCCTCCACCCTAACGATGGACCCTCCACCCTAACGATGGACCCTCTATCACACGATGGCATCTTCACCCACACGATGGACTCTCCTCCCACACTATGGACCATCCACCCTCCCAATTGATCATCTACCACACGATGGACGGTCTACCCACATGATGGACCCGCCACCCACACGATCTTTTCATTAATAGTGATCTGTCGTACAGTGAACATCCTTGAATCAGATTCTTCTTATAACTACGCACATTTGTGGACATTCCAATGTAATTATGAATTAGTAATGTTTATACTTAGACAGTTTTATTTCTGTTATAATTATACATATAGATGACTAATAAATATATTATTTTTTATTAATATTTATATTAAAAACTAACCTCGTAACATAATCGACGACCTCGGTGGTCTAGCGGTCTTGCACACCGCTTTACGACCGATGGTCGCGGGTTCGATTCCTCGCACGGCACAAACATTTGTATTCATGAGTATGATTGTTTGTATCGGTCTGGGTGTTTTCTATGTATAATAAGTATTTACAAAAAAAATTATCTATGTATATGTAGCAGTTATCTAGTACCCATAACACAAGCTTTAGATAGCTTAACTTGGGTCTAGATGGCGCTGTGTGAATTGTCCTAAGTTATTAATAACTAGCTGTGCCTGCGACTTCGTGTTTTATATATATAGTTTTGCCTTGACCAAATAAAGAAAAGGCAAAGAAAAAAGTCTCATCGTTCTAGCTTCAAAAATAACGAGTATCTCCCCTAACAACCTCTTTAGAACCCTTTTTTTCTTATTCAAAAGTAGCCTATATCCTTTCTCAGGGTTTAGACTGTGTTTCATTTAAATTGGTTCAGTACTTTTTTCGTAAAAGCGAGACAGACAGACAGATAGAGCTACTTTGGCATTTATAATATTAGTGTGTCTGTCCGTCCCTGTGTATGCTTAAATATTTAAAATTACGTAACGGATTTTGAAGCGCTTTCTTTAATACATAGAGTGTTTCAAGAGGAAGGTTTATATATGTGTACATGGGCGTACATGTATAATACATGTACACCCGGACGATGCCGGGGTGAGTAGCTAGTTAATCATAAAAGACACTAAAGTACGCACGATTGAAGGATCTTTGTCTACATTGACATGCACTTTTTTCCTGCTTGAAAGCCTATTTGCGCCTGAAAGTGTAATCTTCCTTTACACGGAGCTAATGGAAACTTTTTGAAGGGTGCAATAGTTTTTTATTGCTATTATTGCTATTGTTACAGTAATGTCAAAGTTTGCGGTACGCGTCGACGCGGCGGTCTCTGCTCTGGGAGGCGGCGCGGGCGCTGGTCTGGACGAGAACGACTTCATAGACGCGTCGCGACTTGTCTACGACGCAGTCAGGGAGATTAGGAGGGCCGTGCTGATGAACAGGGTGAGTTTGATGAGGGTGGTATGATGTACCTGCCTGCGGTAACGGTATACGCTGGCAGGGCACTAGTTGAGGGTGATAGGATGAGAATGAAATCTGATAGTATGGTGCAGTCGTTGTGCTAATGGAATCCGCTGGCGAGGCTCCAGTGGAGGGTGATATGAGAAAGAACTCTAGTGGTATGGTGCAATCGTCTGCGCTAACGGTATACGCTGACAAAGCACCAGTGGAGGATGATAAGATGAGTATGAACTTTGATGATATGGTGTATCTGTCTATGCTAACGGTATACGCTGGCGAGGCACCAGTGTAGGATGATAAGATGAGTATGAACTCTGATGACATGGTGTATCTGTCTATGCTAACGGTATACGCTGGCGAGGCACCAGTGGAGGATGATAAGATGAGTATGAAGTCAGTATTATTTTGTTTAATTCCACTACTATTAGCATGTGAGACTACAAATATTCAAAGGAGAAATAAGACCACTGCTCCTGGAAGCGTTACGATCTTTCCCACTAGTGGACACTCCGACTGTTATTCAGTCTAGACACATTTTGTGACACGTGTTTCGCCTCGGGCATATGTCCACCGCTAATGGAATCGTTACGACCATTATAATAGTGATCAAACTTCGACTCTAAGTCTAGAACCCCATATTGTGACACGTGTTTCGCCTCTAAACGAGGCATTATCAGCCATTGAATAGAGCTCGGGCATGTGTCCACCGCTACTGGAACCGTTACGACCATTACACTAGTGATCAAACTCCGACTCTTATTGAATAGAATAGAATAGAAAATCATTTATTCAAATAAACTTAATTTAAGCACTTTTGAATGGTCAACATTTTTTTTAAATCTACCGCTCATTCGGAAAGCTGTCTCATCACAAGAAGAATAAGCAAGAAACTTGTGTGTTGCTCTTTTAAACAATCCTTGTAAGTTCACATTTTACAAGTCGAAACGTGTGAGTACAAACTACCAACCAGCACTAATTTATTTAGACTCAAATATAAAAACACAATAAGATTAAATCAGTCGTAGTGATAAGAGTTGAGAAGAGAAGAGTTGAGTTGAATTGAGTCTAGGGACCCCATATTCCGACACGTGCTTCACCTCTAAAAGAGTTTCTCATCAGGCGTTGTTTGGATATAGTTTAGAAGCCTAGTTTTAACTGTTCGATGTCCAGACGCGGAATTAAACAAAATAATGCTAAACCATTAGCCACAGACTTCAGCAAAATAACACCCTAATTCGATAGACAATGAAGTCAGGTCAGTTAGCACGTGCTTTGGACAAGAATTTTGATGGATGTGAGACCTTCGTGGTCAATTCTTGACCTCAGTTCTACTACCACGAGATCAATCTGCAGATGAGACCTCGTGGAAGTAGATAAGGTCTGCGATGACGAGCAATGCGACCACCCCTTTATTGAGGGGGGAGGGGATTGTTAGTAATGTGGATTGATAACCCCATTGCTAGCAATGTACCTTGTCAGGTCGACCTCCACGCGGTTCCCCCTGGAAACCATCGTGTTAAATTCCTGGTGAATTTGCACTACGGGCTAACTGACCTGACCTCATGCTCATCGTATCATCCTCCACTGGTGCCCCGCCAGCGTAAACCGTTAGCGCAGGCGGGTGCACCATTCCATTATCAACCCTCAAAAAACCCCTTTATTGATAATTCCCTCTATGAAGAAAGAAAGAAAGAAACGTTTATTGACAACCATTATTGATATAAACATACATATAAACTATGCCACGTGTTTCAAGAGAACGGTAAAATATGGCAATAAAATTAAAGTATACCAATGCATCTTAGTACGCAAAAGTGATATGACGGGTGTCACATGATAACGTGATGTCCGTAGTGCTGTTCATGTATATAAACGACAGTTACCACTTACCATCAGGTGGACCGTCACTAATTTGTCATTATTCCTTTTGTTGTCATTTTGGTTTGGTGTAGTATATTATATTTCACTGGCCATATGGTTTGGCATAGTGCCTTTCTTCGGGCACTGGTGTATTTGTATAGATTATTGACGAAATCTTTTCCTACAGCAACCTCTGATAATTCTTATAATTAAATATAATATGACAATGCTGTTAGGATGAAGAAGAGCTAGACCCCGAGGATGTGGAACTAGATGAGCACTACACCCTGGAGACACGTAGTAAATGTGAGGGGGTCATTGAACTAAGTTTAGCTGGAATGTGTCGTGTTAACTATGTGTTAGTGGTGCTGTCTCTCTCGCTAGTAGGACGTGTGAAAGAGATAGGTTATAATAATTCGGTGGAGTAAGGGAGTGTTCGGTCTGATCTACAAAGTACCAATAGATTTTAGGTATACGTAAATATTATTTAAAATGGTATTGCAATTTATGAATCGACAAATTTCTATTAACACGTAAAATTATATTTATTTCTAAAAATAAATGTTTTTGTCACTCTATATATTAAAAAAACCGCTTCAAAATCCGTTGCGTAGTTTTAAAGATTTAAACACAAAGTCGCTGTCGCCGTTCCTTACATAGGAACGGACAGACGGCGACAGCGACTTTGTTTTATACTATGTAATGATATATAAAGTAAGAAGTCAGTAACTTAAATTGAGATTTTGATATTTATTCTTGTAAATTAATAAAGAATCTTGAAATAGATTAATTTAGAAAGAAAGTTCTGTTTAGTATGAAGTTATTTATTTCTAAAAAGAGGTTTATTGGTCCTACTGCTAGAAATATAAAATTTTATCCTCTCTGAAATATATTCACATCTCTTTCACACTCCTCTATATTAATATACGGCGTAAGAGAGACAGCTGTCTTGTGATTGTCTAAATAGCTTCATCTGCATTTTCATTCAATATTTATTTCAATACTTAGTGATTCAGTTGATTTCATTAGATGTAAGGGTAAAATTTTAGTATAGTTTTGTTGTAACTGTGCATGAAAACTGATTTCAAATAGAAAGAAAGAAAGAAAACTGTTTATTTGGTACGCTGAAAATAATTTTTAATATTAATTTACATTTTTAATTTTATATTAATAATTACAGTACCAAATAGGTCTCCGCTCAGCATATGTCATGACGGGGTGCCAAGACGCTGGTTTTCAGCGGATACCTTCATATATAATAAATATAATAATAATAATACACATACATACATAAATCTAGGCGGATAACACAATAAACATCTCTTACTAATAATATTAGTAAGAAAGAAACGCGGAAGTTTGTGGTTATAATTGAATAGTTCTTTGTTAATCTGAGGCTAAAACTTCTAAAAGACATAGATGGAATGTGTGAAAGAAGATATGGCTAGAAAGAAAGTGAATAACGAGAAGAATTTACAAAATCATTTATTCAAATAAATTTAACTTAAGCACTTTTGAATAGTCATAATTCTTTTTATCTACCGCTCATTCGGAGCTGTCTCATCACAAGAAGAACGAGCAAGAAACTTGTGTGTTGCTCTTTTAAATAATCCTTGTAAGTTTACATTTACAAGTCGAAACGTGTGAATACAAACTACCAACTAGCACTAATTTATTAATGTCAGATATAAATGCACTAAGATGACTGCGAACAGAGATGAATGGTAGAGAAAAACATATCACGACGACCACAAATAAATGAGATAAGGTAGAAGCATCTGTAATAGATGCACATGAATGTTTGACTTGATTTGATTTGATTTTATAAGGAAGCAGATGATGATGATGGTATTGATAGTGATGATGATAGTGATAGTGATGATGACGATATAGTACTCTACGTGTTAAACTCAAATATGAAATCGGTTTGCAATATTCTCACATAATTATGACTTGATGAGGTATGGAGTTAAGCAGATGATGATGATGGTGATAAAATACTCTACGTATTAAACTGAAATATGAAATCGGTTTGCAATGTTCTCATATAAGTATTATTATAGATTAGATGAGTAATGGGGTTATGCAGATGATTATGATGATGGTGATAGTGACGATGATGATGATATAGTACTCTACGTGTTAAACTCAAATATGAAATCAGTTTGCTATATTCTCACATAATTATGACTTGATGAGTTATGGAGTTAAGCAGATGATGATGATGATGGTGATAGTGATGATGATGATATAGTACTCTACTAAATCTGTTAAATTCAAATATGAAATCAGTTTTCAATGTTCTAATATCATTATGACATTATGCGTTATGGAGTTAATATAAAATAATGTGACATACGATCCTAAATACCCCATTGGTTGGTCACTAAATGTTGCATGCCCCCCTCCCCTAAATTCATTTTAAACCCCTTACTTGAAAATGGTGATTATTATGTACTAGCTACTCGCCCAGGATTCGCACGGGTGTACATGTATTGTATTGTATTATATATGTAAACCTTCCTCTTGAATCGCTCTATCTATTAAAAAAACCGCTCCAGAATCCGTTGCGTAGTTTTAAAGATTTAAGCATACATAGGGACAGACAGATAGCGACAGCGACTTCATTTTATACTATGTAATGATTCAGAAGGAGACTTGTAGATCGCGTTTGGTGACTCTGTTTCGAGTATAGTTGTTTTACAACAGGCAGGCCGTATGCTCGATTATGATTAATATAAAATTAGTTGCCAACTTTCAAGTAGAATGCTGATCTGTTTGCCTCTTAGCTGTTTTGTTTTGTGATTACCATCAGTCGGGCCGTATGCTCAACTATGGTTAATGTAAAATTTGATACCAATTTTTAAGTACATTAAGCAGCTGTCTTATGTTTTGTGATTATATTCGGCGAGCCGTATGCTCATTTATGAAAAAAAAATAATGCAAATTTTCAAATACTTGGTAGCGTTTTGTGATTACCATCAGGCGGGCCGTATGGTTAATTATGTTTATATAATGTAACGTCAAATTAATCACCATTTGCCGTAAGGGGTTTGTTCCATGTTGTGATAATGTGATAGTGCTATGTTATATGTTGCATGCTATATGTGTGTGTTTGCATGTGTCGTCGTATATCGAAAACTAGACGAGCGACGATCTAGACACGGATACAGAGTTCGAACCCGTCGAGGACATGACCATGGAGACCCGAAGCCGATGTGAGTATCTGGTCAACCGGGCGTCGCTCGTTTTTTTTTTTCTAATTTAAATTGCAAACTTCCAGACCTTATATGTGACGACCTCGGTGGTGTAGCGGTTTACTACGCCGCTTTACATCCGATGGTAGCGGGTTCGATTCCTCGCATGGTGCAAGTATTTGTATTCATGAGTATGATTATTTGTATCGGTCTGGGTGTTTTTTTTATATTATGTATGTATGTACAAAAAAATGTATTTATATCAGTTGTCTAGTACCTATAACACAAGCTCTGCTTAACTTGGGACTAGATGGCGCTGTGTGAATTGTCCTCAGATATTATTCGTATAATTATAAACTTATTTCACAATCCTAAATTCGCAGACAGTTAAGAATTTTCTACAATCCAGCCATTCCAGCCGTTTCAGAGATTAGCCAGAACAAACAGACCGACAGACAGACTGACAAAAATGATAAAAAATGCTATTTTAGTATATGTACCGTATATATATTCATATGCATGTAGTAAAAAACGGTTATTACAATATTACAAACAGACACTCCAATTTTATTTATATGTATAGATGTTTTAGGTGATGGAGGATGAGTTGTCTAAAATAATAATGTATTTTCACAGCGAGCGCTCACACTGGAGAGCACGGTGTCGACGAGTATCCGGACATTAGTGGTATTACCAACGCCAGGGTACGTACATGTCACAGTTTCTTGCACATAGTACACACGCGAGAAAATTGGAGTAAATATATATTTATTTTAATTATTTAACTTTAATGCACACAATACAATATATAGTTACAGTACATTTGGCGGACTTAACACTAATGCACACTATACATATTGTATTGTGTGCATTAAATTAAATAATTAAAATAGTTGCAGTACATTTGGCGGACCTAACACTAATGCACAGTATACATATTGTATTGTGTGCATTAAATTAAATAATTAAAATAGTACAGTACATTTGGCGGACTTAACACTAATGCACACTATACATATTGTATTGTGTGCATTAAATTAAATAATTAAAATAGTTGCAGTACATTTGGCGGACTTAACACTAATGCACACTATACATATTGTATTGTGTGCATTAAATTAAATAATTAAAATAGTTGCAGTACATTTGGCGGACCTAACACTAATGCACACTATACATATTGTATTGTGTGCATTAAATTAAATAATTAAAATAGTTGCAGTACATTTGGCGGACTTAACACTAATGCACACTATACATATTGTATTGTGTGCATTAAATTAAATAATTAAAATAGTACAGTACATTTGGCGGACCTAACACTAATGCACACTATACATATTGTATTGTGTGCATTAAATTAAATAATTAAAATAGTACAGTACATTTGGCGGACCTAACACTAATGCACACTATACATATTGTATTGTGTGCATTAAATTAAATAATTAAAATAGTTGCAGTACATTTGGCGGACCTAACACTAATGCACACTATACATATTGTATTGTGTGCATTAAATTAAATAATTAAAATAGTTGCAGTACATTTGGCGGACTTAACACTAATGCACACTATACATATTGTATTGTGTGCATTAAATTAAATAATTAAAATAGTACAGTACATTTGGCGGACCTAACACTAATGCACACTATACATATTGTATTGTGTGCATTAAATTAAATAATTAAAATAGTACAGTACATTTGGCGGACCTAACACTAATGCACACTATACATATTGTATTGTGTGCATTAAATTAAATAATTAAAATAGTTGCAGTACATTTGGCGGACCTAACACTAATGCACAGTATACATATTGTATTGTGTGCATTAAATTAAATAATTAAAATAGTACAGTACATTTGGCGGACCTAACACTAATGCACACTATACATATTGTATTGTGTACATTAAATTAAATAATTAAAATAGTACAGTACATTTGGCGGACTTAACACTAATGCACACTATACATATTGTATTGTGTGCATTAAATTAAATAATTAAAATAGTTGCAGTACATTTGGCGTACTTAACACTAATGCACACAATACATATTGTATTGTGTGCATTAAATTAAATAATTAAAATAGTTGCAGTACATTTGGCGGACCTAACACTAATGCACACTATACATATTGTATTGTGTGCATTAAATTAAATAATTAAAATAGTTGCAGTACATTTGGCGGAGTTAACACTAATGCACACTATACATATTGTATTGTGTGCATTAAATTAAATAATTAAAATAGTACAGTACATTTGGCGGACCTAACACTAATGCACACTATACATATTGTATTGTGTGCATTAAATTAAATAATTAAAATAGTTGCAGTACATTTGGCGGAGTTAACACTAATGCACACAATACATATTGTATTGTGTGCATTAAATTAAATAATTAAAATAGTTGCAGTACATTTGGCGGACCTAACACTAATGCACACTATACATATTGTATTGTGTACATTAAATTAAATAATTAAAATAGTCACAGTACATTTGGCGGACTTAACACTAATGCACACTATACATATTGTATTGTGTGCATTAAATTAAATAATTAAAATAGTACAGTACATTTGGCGGACCTAACACTAATGCACACTATACATATTGTATTGTGTCAGTTACCAGTCAACCAGACCCAAGTTAAGGTAGCTAAACCTTAACTTGGGTCTAGATGGCGCTGTGTGAATTGTCCTGAAATTATTATTATTATTATGTAACTATGACTATTTAAAAATACTTAAATTAAGTTTATTTTAAATAAATGATTTTCTATTCTATTCTATTCTTACGTATAGGAAGCCATGCGTAAAATGACAGAAGAGGACAAACGCAAGATCCTGCAGCAAGTGGAGCTGTTCAGACGCGAGAAGATGACCTTCGACAACGAGGTGGCCAAGTGGGACGACGCCGGGAACGACATCATCATGCTGGCCAAGCATATGTGCATGATCATGCTGGAGATGACAGACTTCACCAGGTCAGTACTGATTCAATTCAAAATATCTTTATTCATGTAGGTCTATTACAGACTTATGATATGTCAAATCTACCGTCAGTTCGGAATGATTTCGAGATGAGACGTCTCCACTAATATAGATTTAAGTTAAGTGTAAAATCAGTCTACGTCCCGACTCCTCGTCGACTGTACGCGTTATTAATAAGCCATGTAGCACACTACCTGTTACTGGAGCGGGAACACAACTATTTTAATAAAAACCAAATACTAGTAAAAATGTGTATTCTTCCCAAAAGGGCTCACAGCGAGAAGTAACAAAACAATATTAGTCAAAAGTGACATAAAAAATAGATATAAAAAATATAAAGTTTGTAAAAAAGAAAGCTCCACCGACAAGAGCTTAGATCTTAAATTATGAATGAATGAATGAATGAATAAAAAAGAATGGTAGACAAGCTGCCAGTAACACTACCAATAAACTTAATAATGTACAATAAATAGTGCAATCATTTTGCCTGTATACTCACTACCTACATACTACAATAAATAATATATTACGTAGCGACACATCATCACAACATATATAACGCTAGTGATGAATAACCTTCGCTATATCTGTATTCATATAGGTCTATTACAGACTCTTATGATATGTCAAATCTACAGTCAGTTCGGAATTATATCGAGATGAGAAGAACTGACAAGAAACTCAGATCGTATTCTTTTCAAATGAGCTTGTACATTACAAAAATATAGATTCATTTTTAATTTCACATTCAAATTTGGGAGAATAGGCATACCATATGGTAATGTGGTGGTGGTATATGCTATAAGAAAAGCAAATAGTCTAATCAGTGATTATATAATCAGCTCTTTTAAATAATTATAGTAACTTTACATTTACTGGATGAATGGCGGTCCTCCACAGTGCGGTTTTCTAGAAACTTTTTGCCTCGCACAACCACATTGTGGAATCACCTTCCAGCAATGGTATTTCCGAACCAATACGATATTGAAACCTTCAAGAAAAGAGCTTATTCCTTTTTAAAAGGCCGACAACGTACTTGCAATTCCCCTGGTGTTGCCGGTGCTCATGGGCGGCGGTAATCACTTACCATCAGGTGGAGCCGCATGCTCGTTTGTCCCCTGTATTAGAAAAAAAAAAATTAAGTTGAAATGTGTGAATACAAAATACCAACTAGCACAAATTTATTAGGCTCATAATATTAAATATACAATAAGATTAAATCTGTCAGTGATTAGAGCAGAGCAGTCCCTACAAGCAACACTCGTTCACGAGTATGACGGATGAGGTAGCCATCAGTGCGTGTCTCACCCCACCATTACTTGAGTGAAAATAATGTTTCAGGGGTCGTGGCCCTCTGAAGACCACGATGGACGTCATCAACGCAGCCAAGAAGATATCCGAAGCAGGCACCAAGCTGGATAAGCTCACCAGAGAGATTGCTGAACAGGTACAGAATTAATAAAATTACTAAATTTTTTATGGATATTAATGTAATGGTGCACCCGCCTGCGCTAACGGTATACGCTGGCAGCACCAGTGGAGGATGAGGTCAGGTCAGTTGGCACATCGTGATAAATTCACCAAGAATATATCAGGATGGTTTGCAAGGGGAACCGCGTGGAGGTCAACCTGATATGGTACATTGCTAGCTATAGGATTATCACACTCTTTACCCCTCAATTCAGGTTTTTTTTATGGATGACAATGGAATGGTGCACCCGCCTGCGCTAACGGTTTACGCTGGCGGGGCACCAGTAGATGATGATAAGATGAGCATGAGTTCAGTTAGCCCATCGTAAGAAATTCACCAAGAATTTATCACGATGGTTTCCAGGCGGAAGCGCGTGGAGATCAACCTGATATGGTACATTGCTAGCAATAAGATCATCAGTTCTCATTACTAACAAATCCCCTTTCCTCTCAAATTATGATATTTAATATTTATATATGCGACGAGTTCGGTGGGTTTTTTTTTATGGATGATAATGTAATGGTGCACCCGCCTGTGCTAAAGGTTTACGCTGGTGGGGCACCAGTGGAGGATGATAAGGTGAGCATGAGGTCAGGTCAGTTAGCCTATCGTGACAAATTTACTAGGAATTTCGCGTTGTGGGTTCGCGGGTTCGATACCTAAAGACTATGATGTGATACCTATTATAACTATACTATAACCTCGACCCTGGTTTGGTCACAGTGCCCGGAGTCGTCCACGAAGCAGGACCTGCTGGCGTACCTGCAGCGGATCGCGCTCTACTGCCATCAAATACAGATCACCAGCAAGGTGAAGGCGGACGTGCAGAACATCTCCGGGGAGCTGATCGTCAGCGGGGTGAGTCACCTTTCATGATGATGATGACGATGATTGATGATGATGATGGTGATGGTGATGATGATGATGGTGATGGTGATGATAGTTACTAAATTAATTTATATTTTGTTTAATTCCGCTACCGTTATCATGTGTGAGACCACAAATATTTAGCGCTGAGATCTGGAACCGCTACTGGAAGCGTTACGACCTTCTAATGGTGATTCATTCCCACACGCTGGAACCTAAGTGGTCTCGGACAGTGCGGTTTCAGAGGAGCTTCCTCCCGCGTAGACTTAGATTGTGGAATGAACTACCAGCCGAGGTTTTCTCACGAGACTACAGCATGGGGTTTTTCAAGAAGGGTATATTAAGGTTTCTTAAGGGTCGACAACGCGTGACACCCCTGGTGTTTCAGGCGTCCATAGGCTATGATAACCGTTTACCATTAGATGGGCCGTATGCTATCTACGTAGTATAAAAAAAATATTTATTTATGTAGGAACTTTTAGCCGCTCATGAACGTCGAATTTTTTACCTACCGGCCAGTTTATATATTTTTTTTTACCCTTGCCGTATTTTGTCGTCCAGTTCAGTATATTGATTCAATTGAGAAGAACTGGCAAGAAACTCTACTGAGTTTCTTTTTTTTAAAACCAAGTTTATTAACAATGTATATTTATATAGGTGTCTATGTCTAACATTAGTAATTCAATTGAGTTTCTTGCCAGTTCTTCTCAATTGGATCTATATACCGAACTGGACGGTAGGGAAAAAATATAATGTAAAAACTTGACATGTTCATAAGCGGCTAAAATGTCCTATATGAATAAATGATTTTTGAATTTGAATTAAATGATAATCCCGTGCATGAACAACTATTGCGATGCACGCTCGTCATTCAAGAGGCAGTATGTGGTTTTTCAAGGGTTCTTAAGTGACACTCGTGATACTTCTATTGTTTTAGGCGTCCATAGTCTACGGTAACCGTTTACCATCAGATAGGCCGTATGCGTATGCACTTTTGTAGTAAACATTTTTGAAGTTTGCTGAAAACTCTATGTTTGCAGTTGGACAGTGCCACGTCTCTCATCCAAGCGGCCAAGAATCTGATGAATGCTGTGGTTCTGACAGTCAAGGCTTCCTACGTAGCCTCCACAAAGTACACCAGGCAGGGCACCATCGCTGTAAGTATATCCTCGAAATTGATCGAGTCTCGCCCCTGACTTCCTGTCAAGAAGAAGAGACGCCACTACACATCCTATGTGGTTGTAGCCCACTTATGCATAAACGAAATATCTCCTTTGGAAAGTATACACTCTATCCTGAGGAGATAAAAACCTTAGATAAGAATATCCTTCAATTCTTGTCCCTGACGGGTCTAGGCAGCGAAATTTGAAAAAGGGCGAGCACAATAGATCTATGCAGGTCGCAGTGCTACAGGTCTACACCTGACAATAGCTTAAAACTCTCGATAAAAGAAAATAAAAAAAATGCTCGAAATGTATTTATTTACTAGCTATGCCCGCGAGTTTGTCCGCGTTTTAAAGTGACCTTGACCAAATAAAGTGGCATAAATACAGGCTATATGTTTCCTAAACAAAGATTTGTAGTATGCAATATGACCATAAAAAATTTCAATTACCTCCCAGACAATTATAGAAATTGGAACAATCATGATTATTTATGCACCGTGCGAGGAATCGAACCCGCGACGGAAGTAAAGCGACGTGCTTAACCGCTAGACCACCGAGGCTGTCAAATGTGCATGATGACTGAGCTTGCAATACAGCAACAGCTTGATTAACTGTAGTTATTATAAGAGTTAAAAATAACTGGGTACGGGTGAAGTCAGTAATATATGTTGATTTTTTTAAATTATAGTAATAAAGTCATTTACTCTGAAATTTTTAACTGTAATATACAAATTCTTTTTTTTTTTTAATTATATCTCTAATTTCAGTGTGCCTTTTGGCATAGGACTCCTCTAGCGACTTCCATTGACTCCTATCCTGTGCAATTCTTCTCCATTTTGTGTCCACAGTTGACTTCAACTCATCTTCCCATTTCATCATCTACCTTCCCCACTTTCGCTTTCCGCCTCTATTATTATATATTCATATAATATTAATATACTGTATACTGTATAATATACTGTATATGCATATAAAATTTCATAAAAATCGGTCAATCCGTTTCGGAGGAGTATGGTAACTAACATTGTGACACAAGAATCATTACATAGTATAAAACAAAGTCGCTGTCGCTGTCTGTCCCTATGTATGCCTAAATCTTTAAAACTACGCAACGGATTTTGAAGCGGTTTTTTAATACTTAGAGTGATTCAAGAGGAAGGTTTATATGTATAATACATGTACACCCGTGCGAAGCCGGGGGGGGGGGCAGATAGTAAACTATATTACATAAAATAATTTATATTCATTGTGACACGTGTAGTAAAATGAAGGAATCAACTGGGATAAGTTCACCATCAACTTCATACATTTCTGATAACAAAATACAAGAAACTTTTATAAAAACTCAACTAAATTAAGTTATTTTCTCTTTTATTATAATATACTTGTTGTTAGGGAATTTACTCTCTGCTACCAAAATGTTAGGGAAAGTACTATGTATATATATAGGGATAAATATGTGGAAGCATCTGTCACGTACCTGTATGGTTCTGCGGATTTCTTGGGCTTCAGGGTCTCGAAGATATCTTCGCTAGCTTTCCAGTTTCACAGTAGGTTTCACTCAGTTCTAATTTATTTTAATTCACAACAAATGCGCGCGCGTCATGGCCGCCGTACGGTCAGTTCAGTACTGGGTAAGGGAGGGGAAGTCAAAAGCGCGGGAACAGAAACTAACGGACTCTAATGTAATAATCTGTGCTGACAATGGTACAGGGTAGATTTGAACACTTGTAATAAACAAAAATGAACGATCAATTTCAATAATTTTCACATTACATTATCTTCTATATTTGTTTTATTTATAAATTAATTGCTGACTATACCCGTATATATAAATATCATATTTTAACGAAATTTATAATGCATTAATAATGTATTATGCTGGCTGGACAGAATTATGTAAGTATATATGTTATATGTCGCTGCTGTAATATATATATATACTAGCTTTTGCCCGCGGCTTCGCTCGCATTAATTTATCCCCTTAGGGGTGGCATTTATCAAAATCCTTTCTTAGGGGATGCCTACGTCATAGTAGCTTTATGCATGCAAAGTCTCAGCCCGATCGGTTTGAAATTGACAAAGTTTCATACAAAATTTCATCCCCAATAGGGGATGAAATTTAAAATATTATCCCCTTGGGGGTAGAATTAATCAAAATCCTTTCTTAGCGGATGCCTACGTCATAACATCTACCTGCATGCCAAATTTCAGACCGATCCGTCCAGTGGTTTGGGCTGTGCGTTGATAGATCACTATATCAGTCACCTTTGAGTTATATATGTTTAGATATATATATATATATATATATATATATATATAGTCGGTTAAATAGAATGGCAGTATACAAAAAGTACATTTTTGTTTTATCTTGTAGATAACCATTCAAAGTTTTAAAATTTATATAAAAGGAGGCAATTCTAGCTTCTGATTTTGAAAATTGATTCATTTTTCTATTTAATCTACGTTTCATATACGCTTCTGCATAATATTATTATTTCAAAACAATTCACACAGCGCCATCTAGTCCCAAATTTAGCTAAAGCTTGTGTTATGGGTACTAGATAACTGATATAAATACATAGATTTTTTCGTAAATACATACATAATATACATATAAAACACCCAGACCGATACAAACAATCATACTCGTGAATACAAATGTTTGTAATGTGCGAGGAATCGAACCTGCGACCATCGTAAAGCGGTGTGCTAGACCACTAGACCGCCGAGGTTGTCAGGCTTATATATATAATACATGTACTTCTTGGACACCTGAGCGAAGCCGGGGCGAGTAGGTAGTTAAATATAAAAGCTTACATTACATAAATTTATTTTATTACTAATTTTGTTTATTATTATAACATTTTATTGCACCAACTTATAAAGGACATGAACAAAATTAAAAACAAAAAAAATATGTATTTATGTAATTATTTGTATTTTAACATAAATATTGCACTTTATAAAGCTTTTATTTGTTGATTGTAGTTAGAAGTTAATTTTATTAATGATTTCAAAGGACTCCGATTAAAAATAAAGAATTTTTAATTCAATTGCTTAAAAATTAAATTGCAAGTTGTAAAAATTAATCTGGATTTTCGTAGTCATGTGAGAGCAAGCACATTTGAAAATAATATGAGCAGAGTCTCTCATTTGAAAATAATACGAGCTCGGATTTCATTGAAATATAACATTGTTAAGTTACATTTTTATATAGTAACTGCTCCCGCGACTTCGCGTGGAATTTAACTTTATTTTTCTAAAATAAAAGTAACCTAAGTTACTACTTATTAAATCAGCTACCTGCCAAAGTCCCGTCATAATCGGTCCAGCCATTTCAGAGATTAGCCGGAACAAACAGACAGACACAAATTGTAATATGTGTAATTTTTTTCGTGTATGTACCGTATTTATATTCATATGTATGTAGTAAAAAACGGTTATTTCAATATTACAAACAGACACTCTAATTTTATATTTATATATGTGTGTATAAATAAAATGAAGTCGCAGTTTCACTGTCTGTTCGCTTATATCTTTTAAACTACGCAACGGATTTTGATGCAGTTGTTAGCAGTAAATAGAGTGATTCAAGAGGAAGGTTTATATCTGCCTCCTTAAATTATGTACATGTGTAGATTTTTATGTAAATTAATTAAACTATAACAAAATTGTTATTATTTAATTATTTTGTACTGTATTAATGTATTTGTAAGATTTATTAAGTGGGTAATTTTTTTTATAGTATTTTTAATAAATATTCTTTATTTCACTTAAATACATTTGTAAGTATATTAATTACAACTAATGTTAACAAAGGAGGACTTATCACTAAAAGAGATCTCTTCCAGTCAACCCAATAGATTGTGGCATAGGAAGTGGTGAGTGGGTCAAAATGTGAAAATAATAATTAAATAAAAATATCATAAATAATTAAAACTAAACATAAAAATATAATGTCCAAAATACAGATACTAATACAATATACATAAAGATAATAAAAAATATATATTAATATATATATATGTACTTGAATACCTAAACAAAAAATTACATTTATAATAAATATATGATAAACATAAATATATTTAATGCCACATAAAAAAAACATTTTGAGGGTGTGCTTTATCACTTTGGGGTATAAAAAATAGATAATAACCCATCCTCAGACCTACTAAATATGCATATATTCATCAAAACCGATCAAACGAGTATCAGAGAATATATATTTATATGTAAACTCCATTTAACAGTTTTTTTTAAAGGACCTGAAACTCGACTTGCACTCAAATGAAATAATAAAATCATTTATTCAAGTAGGACATTCCAGCCGATTATATTTGCATTCCAATGAAATGAAAAAAATTAATGAAAACCGAAAATTAAAGAAAAATCATGAAAAAAATGATGAACTATGTTTGATATATGATGATATGTCAAGTTTTTTGTATTAATATTTTTCTCTACCGTCCAGTTCAGTATACAGATTCAATTGAGAAGAACTGGCAAGAAGCTTAACTGAATATAGTTTTTTAAAGCCAGTTTATTTACAATGTATATTTATATAGGTGTCTATGTCTAACATTAAATAATAAATACATACATATTATAGGCCGCCCATTGTTGCCTCTTTCCTTTCTCAATGTTATATGTTTATACATATAAATATATATATATATATACTAGCTGTCCCGGCAAACGTTGTTTTGCCTTAAAATAAAAATAAAAAATTTGGGGTGGACTAACATTTAGGGGGATGAAAAATAGATGTTGGCCGATTCTCAGACATACTCAATACGCTCACAAAATTTCATGACAATAGGTCAAGCCGTTTCGGAGGAGTATGGGAACGAAAACTGTGACACGAGAATTTTATATATAAGAAAAAATATATATACAAATGTTTGTTTTGTATTTTCATTTTTTTTTTATTAAATCACCAGTCGCCGATCGTGGTGTGGCGCATGAAAGCGCCGGAGAAGAAACCCCTCATCCGGCCTGAGAAGCCCGAGGAAGTTCGCGCTAAAGTCCGTCGTGGCAGTCAGAAGAAGCAGCCCAGTCCTGTACACGCGCTCGCAGAGTTCCAGAGCCCCGCTGAGAGTGTTTAAGGTATGTAGGGATTGTAGTGTGTGGGAAAGAGAGGTAAGTATGTTGTCTCTATTGCACACTGCTGGCGTCATGCAGCATTAAGCTGTGAACGGCAAGTCAGATGAAACCATCACAGTGGTTTCATTATTTGTTTTTTTTTTTCAATAAACAGTACAGGGAAGAAAGTTAAAGATACAGACAGATAAAATTACATAAAAATCGGTCAATCCGTTTCGGAGGAGTATGGTAACTAAAATTGTGACACGAGAGTTTTATATATAAGATTACTTATTCATACTTAATAAAGTATTTCGTTCTTCATCTGAGATAGTATTTCATTGTAGTAAATTTATTTTCTTTTTTCTTTCATTTCAGGCAATAAGGCGAGATGTAGTAATCGTCGAAATTATTTATATCCATAGGAATATTAGCTCACAACAATATTATTTTGTGATTATAATTATGTAGTTAAAACTCGTGTATTATTAATAATTCAATATTAAGGCCTGTTTCATATTGCACGGAGCGTGGCATTGAACTATATCTACTGGAGTAATAGAATGAAAACAAATTTATCAGCGATCAACATAGAAAGAATCTATATTCAAATAATCTTAATTTAAGCACTTTTGAATAGTCACAGTTAACCGTGTTTTAATCTACCGCTCGTTCGATAAGCTGTCTCGTCACAAGAAGAACGAGCGAGAAACTTGCGTGTTGCAATTTTAAATTGAAGATTATTTCTATTGCTGTAAATAAAAAACAAAACATATCTTTGTAATATTTCTTTACATGGATGTTCTTGTTTAATTTATATTATTATAAACGAGTTTCTCATTGTTTTACACATGTCTCGAGCGCTATGTAACAATAAAAAGTGGATAAAAACAATAGATCACGCGAGAACGACACGTTCAACCTGCTACGTACATTTGTCTATTGTATTGTACTGTCCTATATATATATATATATATATGATAAATGTGTGATGTAAACATGTAAAATGTACGCAATAATAAGTCACTCCAGTCTCTACAATACAGGCCTGCGAGCCTAGTGTAGAACTACAGTAAATTAAAATGTAAATGTGTATCATGAATAAATATTATTATTATTATTAAATATATATATATATATATATTTTAAAACCAAGTAAAGCATATACAATATATATATTACTTGGTTTTAAAATTAAACACTTAATGAGACTAGTACGGAATAAAATCGTATCGATGCTCGTTGTGTTTAATATGAAACAGTCCTAATCGGCAAAAATTGTATTATTTTGCCGGCATTTTTTATACTGTTACAATAATTATTGTAAAATTACAATTAAATTGCAATGTACACTATATACTAACAATGTGCTCCGACATTGCTCGCGTTAAAAGCTCTTCAGTTTTGTGTTAAGTGAAATACTTGTCCACATTATTATAAATTTTAAATTATATATTCAACCTAAGTGGTCTCGGACAGTGCGGTTTCAGAGGAGCTTCCTCCCGCGTACACTTACATTGTGGAATGAACTACCTGCCGAGATTTTCTATAGAGACTACAGCATGGGGTTTTTCAAGAAGGGTATATTAAGGTTTCTTAAGGGCGTCCATAGACTGTGGTAACTGTTTATCATTAAATGGACGCCTGTTTGAAAGAATATTTCTAAAGATGCCGGAAATAACACGTATCTTACTATACAGCGTTATCTGTCTATATACATATAATAAAAATAAAACTGTAGATGACTGTCTGTACATAAAAAAAGCCGAGTCAGGGAATGTTGCTGCTTCAAAAATCGAGTACGGTTTATTACCAGCTAAGGAGACTATCTTGGAATTCATTCCTGCTTTGGTGACTATTCTAAATGATAATCGTTCGTGTAAAAAATACAGTTATGTTTTATATGTCCTTTACACTAGAAATTTTGGTCACAGATCTATTCTATAAGGTATAAAGGTTGGTTAGGTTAGGTACGGTAGGGAAAAAAATTATAATATAAAAAATTTGACGTTCATAAGCGGCTAAAATGTCCTACATGTATAAATGATTTTTGAATTTGAATTTGAAAAAAGAAAATAGTTAGTACATAACAATAATAAATATATTTTTATATTTTAAATTACATACTGGTTTATATTAATTACACAGTACCAAATAGGTCTCCGCTCAGTATGATGATGAGGTGCTACGACGCTGGTATTCTGCAGACACCTTATATATCTATACATATAAATAAAATTGGAGTGTCTGTTTGTGATATTGAAATAACCGTTTTTTACTACATGCATATGAATATAAATACGGTACATACACCAAAATAACAATTTTTATAATTTTTGTCTGTCTGTCTGTCGGTCTGTTTGTTCCGGCTAATCTCTGAAATGGCTGGACCTATTTTAACAGAACTTTTTTTGGTAGGTAGCTGATGTAGAAGGAGTAACTTAGGCTGCTTTTATTTTTGAACAATAAAGTTAAAAACCACGCGGACGAATATAAATACGGTACATACATCAAAATAACATGATTTAAAATTTTTGTCTGTCTGTTTGTTCCGGCTAATCTCTGAAATGTCGGACCGATTTTGACGGGATATTTATTGGCAGGTAGCTGATGTAATAAGGAGTAACTTAGGCTACTTTTATTTAATTATTTCAGAAAAATATAGTACTGTTGTAAAATTCCACGCGGACGAAGTCGCGCGTACAGCTAGTAATATATATAATAAAATAATATTATACATACATAGATCTAGGCGGATAACACAGTAAACATTTACGACATACTACCATATATAAATAAATATCAAACATAACTACACTCTCAATCATTCATAATTTAAGAGCTACGCTCTTGTCGGTGGAGCTCTTGCCACTTTCTGCGATCTTCCATCATGCTCTTTAATTCTTGATACGACACGACTCCCATTTTGTCCTCAATTTGTGTGATGTAGCTATACCTTGGTCTTCCCCTCCCCCTCTTTCCTTCTATTTTCCCCTCAATAATAATTTTCACGTGGATGGTCATAAGGGCAGAGGAAGGCCGAAAAAGAGATGGATGGACTGTGTGAAAGATATGGTAAGAAAGGTAGTAAATAACGAGATGACTGCGAACAGGGATGAATGGAAGAGAAAAACAAATTACGACCACAAATAAATGGGATAAGGAAGAAGCAGTTGATGATGATGATGAATAATTTTCATGAGATCATCGCGCCGTATCAAGTGTCCCAACATTTTCTCTCGTCTATTTTCTATTGTGTTCAGTATCTGCCTTGTTTCTTTTACCCTGTGTGGTACTTCTACGTTTCTTACTTTATCCTTCCAGCTAATTCTTCCATCTTCCTCCAACACCACATTTCAAAAGCCTCCATTTTATAATGTAACTACACACTGAAACATAATAAACGTAATGTTCTGGTGACACTAGATGGCTGACACCTTGCAATCACCCTGCATTTAGAGTGCAAACACATCAGCACATTTTTCTAAGTGAAGAAATATTTAAATTTTTTGATACTCTGTTGTGTATAAAAATTGAAAATATTTGTGAAATAATTAGCCTATAATAAAAATGCTATCCAATGGCAGGATTCCACGTGAGCGAAGTCGCAGGCACAACTAGTTAAGTATATAAAAGTGTGTATGTACATTGCAATTAAGTTGATTTCCAATCGGCTATAAATTAACGAAAACTTTATATTAAGGCAGCCAAATTTGAATAGATGTCCCGTGTATAGTGGACATATATTGTATTTTAAACATTAAGTAGATAAATAATAATATAGTGTATTGTCCTGGCTTTGCTCCGGTGATTTTGTGTTTTGTTTCTGAATTTCTATTTTTTTTTACAAATAATTCAATACCAATATTACTCTCTGGTAATAGTAACCCTGGACAATTAACACAGCGCCATCTAGTACCAAGCTAAGCAGAGCTTGTGTTATGGGTACTAGACAACTGATATAATTACTTAGATTTTTTTGTAAATGCATCATTACATAGTATAAAACAAAGTCGCTGTCGCTGTCTGTCCCTATGTATGCTTAAATCTTTAAAACTACGCAACGGATTCTAAAGCGGTATTTTTAATAAATAGTGATTCAAGAGGAAGGTTTATATGTATGTATAGTACATGTACGCATATTGGTCTAATCTGCTTAGCTTGGTGCTAGATGACACTGAATTGTCCAGGTTTATTATTTATTTATTTAGCACGACCTCGGTGGTCTAGCGGTCTAGCACACCGCTTTACGACTGATGGTCGCGGGTTCGATTCCTCGCACGGCACAAACATTTGTTTGTATTCATGAGTACGATTATTTGTATCGGTCTGAGTGTTTTCTATGTATAATATGTATGTATTTACAAAAAAAATCTATGTATTTGTATCAGTTATGTAGTACCCATAACACAAGCTTTAGCTAGCTTAACTTGGGTCTAGATGGCGCTGTGTGAATTGTCCTGAGATTATTATTATTATTATATAAACAATAGGAGCCAGATCAGAAATCCTAATCCCCGCGCACTCAAAACTGTCGGAACGTAATAAAAAAAAAACAGTAGTTTGTAAAACTTGCCCAAAAACAGATCTGGCCAGGAAGGACCGAAGACCTTTTGAAAGAATTTTCTACCGGCCTCGTATTGACTACATTCGTCATTGTGTACTCAACCCAACGCCGAACTAGTTACAAATGATACAGTGGAGCCCTCTATAGGGCTCCTTTAAGTTGCTACGGTCCCCGTAACTGGACATTGTACATGTTTGCAGTATCCCCACGTATAAATTCAGCCCATATATACTTAGATTTAATTTAGTTTGAAATAATTCTAGATTTTAAGAAGTGCAGGCAATATTATGAACAATTTATATTAACTATTTAGAGGCACAATAATATAACTGTCCCCATTTGTAGAGATAACAGCATACGGCCGGCCTGATCATGTTTTTATTAAAATGGAAAACTACTAAACGAATCTGATGATGGTAATAATATGACTATCCCCATTTACAGCATATGGCCGGCCTGATGGTGTTTTTTTTTATAATTGAAATGATAACCTAACGAACCTGATGAAGAGTTCTTTTTAAGTAATGGTGCACCAGCCTGCGATAACGGTATACGCTGGCGGGGCACCAGTGGAAGATGATAAGATGAGCATGAGATCAGGTCAGTTAGTATATCGTGATTCACCAAGAATTTGTCGTGGTGGTTTCCAGGAACCGCGTGGAGGTCAACCTGACATGGTACATTGCTACCAATGGATTGCGAGCATCTGTATTCATGTAGGTCTATTACAGACTCTTATGATATGTCAAATCTACCGTCAGTTCGGAATGATTTCGAGATGAGAAGAACTGACAAGAAACTCAGCTCGTATTCTTTTCAAATAAATGTTGTACATTTTTACAATAATACAGATTCATTTTTAAATAAAAATTCGGGAGAATAGAGTGACCACCAGCATATGCTATTGCATTTTCGTCAAAAGCAAATCACTTAATCAGTCGCCGCAACAAGATGTGTTTTAGTGTAGTGTTTTTTTATAGTAACATAAAAAATTGTGATAATTTGCTCTACTATAGAAAATAATTTGTCAAACTTAATGGTTTAATAAATGCTATACCGGAGTAAATGGAACTTTACTAATTGTGCCTCTAAATGTGTTTTTTTTTTATTTATGAACTGTAGAAATTATATATAAATCCTAAACTCACCATTGCTATTTGTTAGAGTATTTTCGAATTTAAGAAGCTGTTCATATGGTTTATTTTCGAAATTTCCAGTACATATCAGATGATTTTATATAATTATTTTACATGACATTTTTATATGACGACCTAATTACTGTTTTTAGAATTAAAAATTGAATCACTGAACGATTGAAATCTAATAAAAATAGTTTTGTTGCTGCTTTCGGACTACTCTAATGTTGTCCGCAGCTGGCCTTTACAGCTTCACCGGACGATAGGGGGCGAGTGCAGATGGCACTCCAAACCGAAGGAAGGACTTATGGAGCGGCTGAAGGACAACTCCCGCCTGAATGATACGACGCCAGTCTGAGGTCACCACTGGGGTTCGAACCTCCGCTCAGCCCGTTTGAATTGGACGGGGGATATTTTGTTACTACATTTTTTTTTGACTACTCCAACTGTTGACCGCAGCTGGCCTTTACAGCTTCACCGATAAAATGATTTTATAATATATCTAAACAGAAAACGAAAATATAGCGCGTTGCAGGATCTGTACGGCGCCATCTAACGGCAAAAAGGTGAATTAATACCAACAATGACTTTTTATATTTATAGACTTAGTAATTATTTATTATTAGTAAATATAATCGATGTAATTACGAGGAAGTATTATAGTTCGCATTGTGATTGACAATTTTTTCAATTTTCTATAAAAAAAATGTTTTAAACTCAATAATTAAGTTACGAAATATAATAAATTGTACTTACAATAAAATTCTTTTATTTCTACCTGATAATGCTGTCGATTGTACCTACATACATCTCTAGAACGCGGGTTTGTATCCAGCTCGAAGGACCATAAATTATTTTTTCTCTAAAAACTCGACGGCCTCGTTGGTGTAGTGGTTTAGCACACCGCTTTACTTCCGTTGGTCGTGGATTCGATTCCTCGCACATTACAAACATTTGTGTTCATGAGTATGATTGTATCGGTCTGGGTGTTTTCTATGTATATTATGCATGTACTTACGGAAAAAGGAATGTTTTTGAATCAGTTGTCTAGTATCCATAACACAAGCTTTAGTTAGCTTAACTTGGGTCTAGATGGCGTTGAGTGAATTGTCCTGAGATTATTATATTATTATATAAACAATAGGAGTCGGATCAGAAATCCTAATCCTCGCGCACTCAAAACTGTAGGAACGTAATAAAAAAAACAGTAGTTTGTAAAACTTGCCCAAAAACAGATCTGGCCAGGAAGGACCGAAGACCTTTTGAAAGAATTTGCTACCGGCCTCGTATTGACTACATTCGTCATTGTGTACTCAACCCAACGCCGAACTAGTTACAAATGATACAGTGGAGCCCTCTATAGGGCTCCTTTAAGTTGCTACGGTCCCCGTATTGACTACCAGGGGTGTCACGTTCGCGTTGCCGACCCTCAAGAAACTTTAATATAAACATGTATTATATATATAAACCTTTCTCTTTAATCACTCTATCTATTAAAAAAAAAAGCACTTCAAGATCATTTGCGTAGTTTTAAAGGATTAAGGATACATAGGGACGGAGAGACAGAGATTTTAAAAATAAAATAACAACTTACAAAATACATTTTAATGTTTCAAACTTAATAAAGAAATTAACAACTATTATGATCCACAAATGACAACTGAGCAGGTACTAAATTAATACTAATATTATTTACCCGCGACTTCGTCCGCGTGGAATTTAACTTTATTTTTCTAAAATAAAAGTAGCCTAAGTTACTCCTTATTACAACAGCTATCTGCTAGATAAGCGTCCCGTCAAAATCGGTCCAGCTATTTCAGAGATTAGCCGGAACAAACAGACAGACAGACAAAAATTGTAAAAAAAATTATTCTGGTGTATGTACCGTATTTATAATCATATGCATGTAGTAAAAAACGATTATTTCAATATTACAAACAGACACTCCAATTTTATTTATATGTATAGATTATTGCAAAATGGCTATATTTCGACGGCTTCGGTGACCTAGCGGTTTAGCACACCGCTGTAACGGTCGCAGGTTCGATACCTCGCACCGTACAAACAGTATTCACGAGTATGATTGTTTGTATCGGTCTGGGTGTTTTATATGTATATTATGTATGTATTTACGAAAAAAATATCTAAGTATTTATATCAGTTGTCTAGTACACATAACACAAGCTCTGCTTAACTTGGGACTAGATGGCGCTGTGTGAATTGTCTACAGTTTTTATTATTAGTATTACGTGTCAATAATGTTGATTTTAAGGCCTTTGTTTGAAGTGGACGTCTTCCGGGCTGAAATGATGATGATGATGATGATGATGATGAAGCACATTTTATGGATTTACATACAAACTGGTTAATCTAATAGTTACAAGATATCACAAAATTCACACCAAAAATGTGAGTACGTAATGAGGTAGATTCTTGCTTTTGCAATATCATATGCTGGTAGTCACTGTATTCAAATTCAAATTCAAATTCAAATTCAAAATATCTTTATTCATGTAGGTCTATTACAGACTCTTATGATATGTCAAATCATTTATTATATAGATGAGAAGAACTGACAAGAAACTCAGCTCGTAATTTTTTTCAAATAATAGTGGAACATGTTTATTATGTCTCCCAAATATTAATTTAAATGAATCTGTATTACTATAAATATCTCATTCCGAACTGACGGTAGATTTGACATATCATAAGTCTGTAATAGACCTACATGAATAAAGATATTTTGAATTTGAATTTGGTAGAAAAAATGGAACAATTCTTGATACATTCTGCGTGCTCTGTGCTCTGGCGGTTTGACCTTACACCTTACTTATGCTGCTTCTATGATGCCTTATTAGCTTCTATGATTCTATGATGATAGCATAGCTGTGTGCCAAACCGCTGGACCACAAATCCGTCATAAAAAAATATTTATAGAGTTATAAAAATACTTATAATACTGCACAGCTATCACCAACAAACTGGAAGTATGTAATCTTATATATAAAATTCTCGTGTCACAATGTTAGTTACCATACTCCTCTCAAACGGCTTGACCGATTTTTATGAAATTTTATATGCATATTCAGTAGGTCTGAGAATCGGCTACTATCTATTTATCATACCCGTAAGTGATAAAAGTTGTCCATCCCTAACATTTTTTTTTTACAATTTTTATTTTATAATGGGCCATTAAAAATACAACTCCAATCAGCTACCTATTTTTCATACCCCTAAGTGATAACGGTTGTACACCCCTAACATTTTTTTTTTTATTTTATTACAATTTTTTTCTTTTATAATGTGACAGTAAAAATACTTACAAACCCAAATTTTCTCTAAAATTTCATAGGAATTGGTGAAGCAGTTTTGCTACAAACATTGTGACACGAGACTTTTATATATTAGATAGACCAGCTGACATCGCAAACGTTTTGCAAATGTAAATTAAAATCGCTATTAAAAAAAATGTGTTGATACCAACAGGGCGAAAATTTATGATTATATGTATTTTTCAGTGCTAAATTGCTAAATCGCTAAGTAACATTAAAAACAGATAAGTCAAATATTATATATTCAATTGCATTTTTTCTTATAAGTAATAAACACCTAAAACATTATTTGTAGTTATATTTGCAATAGCTAAATCATAACAAAAAATATATATGTCGAAAAATAAAAACAAATACTTAGGGGTTGACAACCCTTATCATTTAGGACTATGAAAAATGAAAGCAGCCGATTCTCAGACCTACTGAATATGCGTATAACATTTTACAAAAACTTACCCTTTCAGAGGAGTATGCTAACTAGCATTGTGACACGAGAATTTTATATATAACATTATTTAATCAATTAAGTTTCTCATTTATTCTCGTTGATTCAGTATCATGAGATTTCTTCTAGTGTTTGATTAGAAATATCATTTAAAATCCAACTCTAAGCAGATTTAGCGTTAAATTTACAAAAATAATTAAAAACGCCTCAAGACCCAATTTTTATCTTCTTACTGACGTGTTCTGATTCTTCTCCAAATGCAATATCTTCTAAATCTCTCTTCGAGTTTCTTCTTACATTACCATCTATATTCTCCTTGTCTTTCGTCTTCTTACCTTTACCTTTCGCTTTCAGATCGTTTTTAGGGTAATATTCTTCTATTTTATGACTGTTCTCTCCGCTCAATGGCTCCAATTCAATTGTTTCGTCCAAAACTTTGTTCTTTGGACGTTCTGAGTCTTCGTGTTTCTGTGGACTATCCTCTACAGTTACAATATCTTCTTCATCAGATTCTATTACGTTCCGCTTTGGTTTTGATTTGGAACTGCTTGCTGAGAAAAAGAAGAGAAACATTTTTTTTAATTTTGAAAATTATCTTTTTATGGCAAACAAGCATACGGCCTATCTGATGGTAAATGGCAGGGATGTTATGGATATGAAATATCCGATACGGATAGGTTTCGGATATAGGAATGATTATTATACCGGATACGGATACGGAAGTGGATATGAAATATATTTCGGATTATCCGTTAGTTTCGGATAATTTAGGTTACAGATAATAAAATAGTTACAAAACATATCTCAATTAGGCTCCGTCCCTATCTGATACTATCCGAAACTTTTATTTCGGATTCGGTTACGGTTACGGATATTTTTTATATCGGATATCCGACAGTTTCGGTTACGGTTACGGAGCTCCCTAACATACCTAGTAAATGGTTACCGTAACCTATGGACGCCTGAAACACCAGGGGTGTTCTTTGGCACAAGGTTCGAAATGATCGAAGGTTCGATTCCTTGCGCGGTATAAAAATTTGTATTCATGAGTATGATTGTATCAGTCTGGATGTTTTATAAGTATGCTATGCATGTATGTACAAAAAAAATGTATCTAAGTATTAACATCAGCTGTCTAGTACACAACACAAGCTCTGCTTAACTTGGGACTAGATGGCGCTGTGTTATTTGTCCAGGTTTATTATTATTATTAATCAGTTCGGTAATTTAGGAGATAACTTACCAGACGAAAACCCTATTACTCACTAAACGATTACTTGAATGACGAGCGTGCATGGCAATAGTTGTTCATGTACGGGATTTTCATTTAATGTTAGACATAGACACCTATATAAATATACATTGTAAATAAACTGGCTTTTAAAAAAAAGTCATTCAATTGATTTTCTTGCCAGTTCTTCTCAATTGGATCTATATACTAAACTGGACGGTAGGGAAAAAATTATAATATAAAAAAATGTACGTTCATAAGCGGCTAAAATGTCCTACATGAATAAATGATTTGTCAATTTTGAATTACCAGTGATATCATCTTCCGGCTCCATCTCCTTTCCATCTGTATCTTTGGTGATGAAGAAGTTCGTAATTGGTTTCTGCCACTTGGGTGTCTCCCGGGGACAGACTGGGTTACCCCCCGAGTAGCTCCGAGCTGATTTATCACTACTGCCTGTAGATTGCAAAAAATAATAATACTCAGTTTTCTTAGAGAAGAAAAACAATAAGTGATGGGCCGGGTCATTGGGCTCCCTAAAATGTGGTTGACCTACATAGATCTATTGTACTTGCCCTTTTCAAAGTTGGCTACCTAGACCCGTCAGGGACAAAAACATGGTTGGACGTTTGTTACTCTTTCACGCAAAAACTATACAACAGATTTTAATGAAACCTTACAGTAACATAGCTTATACATAAGAATAACATAGGCTTAGGCTATAAAAGCCGGGTGAATCCGTGGGCACGACTAGTAAAATATATGTAAGGATGATTCCCAGTTGATGGTGAATAGTGAGATAGAGCAATCTTCTCTACCTGTTTCTTATATTGTAACACCATGGAAAATATTATTCTCTACCTAATGTAATGTGAGTTGGACTCCATTCTCCGCAATAAGCCTCTCTTTTAGGCCATTATGCGTGTAGACCCAGACTACTAAAGTAGCCAGCCAAGCTCCTCCTAGAAGCGCAGAATACTCCTAGTGTCTTCACAGGCTTCACGGAGCGACCTCACCGTTCCGAGGATTTGTTTTCGTTGTGTGGCCACTGTAGCACTCCAGGATTACGTGAGCCGCCGTTTCTTCGGCTTCAAAGCAGCCCCGATGAAGGTAATGTCTGTAGCGCCTATTGTGTACAGGTGTTTATTATGATAAGGGACAGTGGCCCGATATTGTCCTTATCATTATTGTAAAAGGGACAGTGGCCCGTTATTCTCCATTTCATTATTTTGAAAGGGACAGTGACCCGTATTGTCCCTACCATTATTTTGAGGTTATGCCTATCTAGATTCAGTAGGCGTTTTATCATTGGTTTGTTTTAGTTTTATTCCCTACCTATTATTTTTATATTTACTACCATACTGACCTGCTGATGCACTGCTGTTGCTAGGTGGCGCCACACTGCAACGGGCCTTGCTGCTCTTTCCTGATGCCACTGGAGAAAGAAAGAATTTTATGAGAATTACTCTTTCCGTGATATAAATTGGCAGAGAATGGAGGAGGCTTTGCATAGGGAGGCCAAGAGAAATAAATAAAGAAACTACGAACAATATGAATATGTTTTTTCCAAGCATTTTTTTTTTAAACAACAAAAATAATTAAATTGAGGGTTTTTTTATTAATGATAATGGAATGGTGTACTCGCCTACGCTAAAAGTTTACGCTGGCGGGGCACCAGTGGAGGATATGACGAGCATGAAGTCGGGTCAGATAGCACATCATGACAAAATAACTATGAATTCATCACGATGGTTTCCAGGGGAACCGCGTGGTGGTCAACCTGACATGGTACATTGCCAGCAATTGGATTATGAGTCCACATTACTAACAATCCCCTTCCCCCCGACTTGTCTGGTTACATAATGCTACTTGCGAAATGGCAATTTACCGCAATAGTTTCCAGGGGAAACAGCGTAGTGGTTAATCTGACATGGTACAATGCCAGCAATGGGGTTATTAAACCACATTACTAACAATCCCATTCCCCCTGTTTCTTTGTATTTGTTGGAGGGTGGAGGGAGATCAAAGAAACTAAATTAAGACTTGAAATTGTAAATATATGGAAAAGAGTTTAAATAAATAAATCAATATGACAAGCTCGGTGGTCTAGCGGTCAAGCACACCGCTTTACGACTGATGGTTGTGCGTTTGATTCCTCGCACAGTACAAACATTTGTAATTATGCATATGATTGTTTTCTCTGACTGTGGCAAATCCGTTAGAAATTAATAATAATATCCCAGGTCAATGGATACTAGACAACTGATACAAATACATTTTTTTTTATTTGTTAGTAAATATATACATATTATATATAGAATACAAACAATAACCCTCATAAATGTAAATGTTTGTGTAGTGTGAAGAATCGAACCCACAGACCACAGAGGCTATCAAAAGTTGTCTAATGATATAAATACATACAATTTATTTTGTAATAGATACATGATATACATATAAAACACCCAGAACAATCACACTTATGAATACAAATGTTTGTACGGTGCGGGGAATCGAACCCGCAGCCATCGAAAGTAAAGCGGTGTGATATACCGCTAAACCACCGAGTCTGTCATAATTAATCACAATGTTTTCCAGATGGTAACAGATATTCTAAACTTTCAAGAAACATTGTATGCTCCATACATGGGAGATGATTACAGACGGTAGGTACAATGCGAACTACTAATAATCATGCCTACTCAATAATGTGGAAAAATATGGTCAAAATAAAACACACATTTCAGAGAAAAGTTGCAACATGACAGTATTTTTCAATTTTACCAACCTTTAGCTCCTACTGAAGCTTTAGTTCTAGCCATTTCTTTTTGATAATTATATTTATAATTCACACAATAGAACAAGTTAAATATAATTGTAACAAAATTAAAATAACAAATGTAACAGCTATAAAAACAGTACAATAAATTATTTGTCATCTGAATAAAAACGCGCGAAAATAAAAATAATAAAGCAGAACTTCAAAACAGTAAGTTCAGATATGTCATAAACATATTGTCAATGTCAATACAAAAAAGTTTGAATTTCAAGATAAATATGTAATGAAGAAAAAATAGGAAATAAAAGTTGATTTTACGCATGCTTCCTAACTGGAATACTCTGGAGAATCCGCTAAGATTCAGAACCGATTTTGATGGTAACATTGCAAATTACAATATAAATTTAGTTATAAGGCACATTGTACATAAATATATCTACGAACATATGCGTTACACATTTGTAAAAACAATTCCTATACATTAATAACAGTTTATAAATTAATAATATTAATTATTCTATAATTAAAATAAATAAATTTTATTATTTTAATTTTTTTTCAAATGGCAATTTTATTGATTTCTATCCTACAGAGGTAGAATGCCTTATTACGACTTTTCATAGTAATATCGTTTACATCAATTGAATTCAATTGTTCTGCCAAATTAAAAAAATACCTTATGCTTCGCGCATAAAATTGCTTTTCCTTTACTTTATAAATTAAATCCACAGTCAAGCTACACTGTGTCCAAATTCCATGAAAATTCTGTTCTATTGTTATTCTGTGATTGCTGTTTTAAATCTGTATCTAATCTACTCTTTTTATTTCTATTTATCTGTGATTTACTGATTTACCTTCCATTGAATTTTGATTGAGGTTAATTCAGTGCATCTAAATTCCGTTAATAATTATATTTTCTAATAGTAAATTTGTGATTTGTGAGATATTCTGTTTGCTATGTGATTATATTGTATATACACGATTGACAAGTTGCTATTAAGGTGAGCTCAAAAGCATTACATGGAAAGTTACGTTTAGTTCAACTTTCTCATCATCAATATTATACTATTCTTGTTGATAACTGATTTCAGCAACAGCCCATAAAAAAGATTTTTAATAATTAAGAAACCGTTCTAAATTTCTGTTCGAGATTAAGTTTATTGATAAGAAACTTAAGTAACAAGCCTACCCACAAACAAAACATGTTTTGTACCTCATCCATTGACCGATACCTAATTTTATTATTAAAAATATCAAATAAAAAAATATATAGCTGTTTATATCCTATTTCCAAATATGAAACACCTAAATTTAAAAAAATATAGAATTTTGCTTGAAGACACATTGGGTATGTTTATTTGATATTTTTTTTATTTGTAAATAAAGCTTAGGTAAAGCTTTCTCATCACAAGAAGAATGAGCAAGAAACTTGTGTGTTGCTCTTTTAAATAATTTTATACTTTTGCTATCAGAAAAATTAGACAGTTAACTGATACTGCAACAGCGAACTAGTATATTTTGGTTACTTCCATAGTATAATGTCGTATGGTATTGTATTGTGGGGAAGAGCGGCTGATGTAGAATAAATTTTTATATTACAAAAAAGAGCAATTCGTTCAATATATAATTTACCGTGTAGAGAATGCTTTAAAGAAACAGGTATCCTCACTGTTCCCTCTCAATATATATATGAAAATATTATGTATGTACACAAAAACTTGTGTGTTTTAATACAAGCTATCTTTTAAATCAGATTTTTTGAAGTTATTGGCTTTTTGAGATGAGGCCCCTCCAGTAAGGTGCCATCTCATTTACTTTCTTTCTTTAGATGTTGGCAAGACAGTTTTTTAATCTAGATGGACAGTTATTTATATCCAGTAGTTTTGAAGCAACTGGTTCTTATGCGAATCTGTGTTTATATCTTCAGGCTTTCTGTATCTCTTCTTTTACAGTTGGAATTTCTAGATGTGTATGTACTTCAATGTTTTTTATGAACCAAGGAGCTCTGGCTATGGTTTTTAATTTGTTTTGGATTTTCTATGTTAGGGTGTGAAGATCCCCATAGTTCCATTGCATATGTCCACACTGGTTTTATGAATATGAGGAGTTTGTTTTCCATTAATTTAGACAATCAGCCAGTACATGTCTTTAAGTTTTCTATCAGCTTGGTTTTTTTTTGCTTTTATGTGGTCTCTCCAAGTAAGTCTTCTGTCCAATATATAATATTTTACCACCGTTTGTTGTGGCAAAATAGTTCCATCTAAGGATACTGGTGTGCTTAATGAGAATGTGATATGGACCGACTTTGTGGTAAGAATTCTCCACATTCAACCATTCTTTAATTCCATTCACATGCTTCTGAAGCTCTGTAGATGCAATATGTGGGTCTCTATTACATGACAGCACTGCTGTGTCGTCTGCATATGTTGCTGTAATATATATTAGTAGAAGGTCAATATATATTGTGTACAATACTGGGCAACAGAACCCTGTGGCATTTTTATTTCAAAATAATCTGATAGTCATCTTCATACTTAACATGAAATATCCTATGTTGTATATAGGACTTTAAGGATATAAATGGTGTTCGGTAATAAATTTATAATATGTGCCTAGTGTTGTACATCCAAAAATCTCAAAAAATTGTATGTGCGACTCGGTGTATCTGTTCCGTAGTTCCATGATGTGCCCGGACAAATTGGTGTTCTGGTACTATATTTTTCTCCTCATAAATCTTTTCAAAGTATTTTTTCAAATAATTTGGATATTGCTGGTTTTAATATGACGATACTTCAGTGGATGGTTTTCCATTTAAGAACCATATTTATTATAGATACTTTCCACAATTGTAAAAAAATTGCACTCAGTACTGCATTAAAGAGAATTGTTAGTAAAGCTATTCTGTTTATAAAATAAATCGAAGCTACTTAAATTTTAGATTTATAGTCTTTCTACAATGTCTGTGGTACTTAATTACATAAATCAGCTTTATCTCTAGTTTTCCATGCTTCCATTTGTTTTTTTATATAATTTTTCCTCTTTATAAATTTAGTTATTTTCCACATAGTCATCTGATATAATGTCATCAATTTATCTTGGATTGTGTTGTTTTCGTTTTCTCTTAACATTATTTTTAATAGTTTTTGAGCTTTATTACTTTTTATTATAAATTTTCAGTTTTCTTTTTTCTGATATCATGATTTCTATATCTTGTAAATTTAATATTGATATCAGGTTTGTGACATACCACTGTTTCTTCTACATCTTCTTCTGTTTTTATCAGGTTTGTATTTTCAGGATATGCTGTAAATAATATAATTGATTAAATTTGTGCATAGTGGAGCAACCTGAAACAGTCATACCCGCTATGCCTTTTGTTATAAAGTTCAATTAAGTCAGGTATTTTATTTGGATCCGTGGTGGGGTTCTCCTGTGGATATAATATTAAGGGAGTTAGTGTCAATTGCCTTTTTTAATTCTCTGCAAATATGGTTGCAATGTATCAAAGTGTTTTGAAAAACTGATCGCATTTGATCATCAATTCGATGACGAGGCGGGGAGTAGATAGCGGCGATATTCTCCTGTGACACAACTGCTGCCTGCAGGTGGGATAGGTATTTAGGCATACTGTGTTGTTTAATATTTTCTTTAATAATTATTGAACACTGATTAAATATATATTGTTCTTTGTAACTTTTTGATCAGCATATGCTGGTGAGAACATCTATTTTTTTGTCACTAAGAAATAGCTCTATTCTCCCAAATATGAATTTTAATAACTGTATTTATCATAAACATGTTCCACTATTATTTGAAAAAAATATTTTGTGATTGTTTAATTATGATTTGTTCTAACAAATTTGTTCTTCTCATCTCTGTTTGATCATTCTCGAACTGACGTTTGTAGATTTGACATGTTTGGTGCATAAGAGTCTGTAATAGACCTACATGAATAAAGATATTTTGAATTTGAATTAGACCAGTGTTTTCCTATTATTGACTTGGTTGTATTTTCGTGCACGTCTCCTTGGATTCTATGTTGATTATCACCAAGACAGAGTGTGCATGTGGCTCTTACTTGCTATTCTGTAATTATTTATATAAAATTGTTGGCATCGGGCACACACAAGTTTCTTGCTAATTTTAACTTTTTGTGGTATGAATGCTTCTTGCAGCTGGATTGTTTGGGCAAATGTTTACAAAGAACATATTTAAGGGCTTTTTGTTTCTTCGAGAATAAAAAACCTATGACTATTTAAAAGTTTTTTTATTACTAGCACTTGTAAACGTGAGTTTATTTGAATAAATATTATTTCTATCCATAAAAAACTGTATATTCGGGTTATATAAGTGCTGATTTTCTTGGCATTTTGTTCTTCTTCGCAGTCTTCAGTTAAGTCCACTAGTAGAATACTGAATCTATTGGAGTCTGTAGTTTCCTTGTTGGTAGAGCACTCCGGGATTTGTGTATCATGTTAATTTTTCTCTTTGGGTTCCGTTGTTCTGGTACTCTTTGCCAGGGTGGAATTTATAAAATTTTCCAAAAGAAATATTGCATTTATGCATTAGTGGGCTACAACCATGTGCCCACCAATGTGTAGTGGCGTTTGCTCTTCAGTTTGGCAAAACTGCAAGCTTACGCTATGCCGCATCGTCACATTTTCAGAAGAATATCCTTTAATTCTTGTTCCTTGACGTTCTTTACGGTTAGTTCCTCGGTGTTAGCGAACTCATGAAAAACCCGGTGACCGCAATAGGTAAAAATAAATTAAATATGCCTAGTTATCGTCTCAAAAAAAAGTAAGTACATCTTTCATGGGACATTGTATACGTTTTTATAATAAATTGCCAGATAGTGTTTTAAATTTAAGTGAAGCCAAATTTAAGATACATGTAAAAAATACACTTTGCTCTAAAGCTTATTAAAAATAAAAAACTACTAAATAAAATGTGTGACTTAATTACTTTTAACTTTTGTTATGTATAATTTTCCCATTGACAATAATGTAATAACACGTTTTTTAATATATGCAATTTAAATATTGAATATAAAACTGTGACGGTACATATGCTGTAAATAATATAATTGATTTACATTTTTTACAAACTTTCGTCTGTATGTCTGTCTGTTTGTTCCATACGTCATACTCGTGAACGGGTAATCTTGTGAACACTGATTAAATTTTTGTTCTTTGCGATAGCATGGCAGGTCCCAAATATGAATTTTAATAACTGTATTTATCATAAACATGATCCATAAAAAAAATAAGGAGTCAATCTCGATATCATTCCGGACTAGATTTGACTTCATAAGAGTCTGTAATAGACCTACATGAATAAAGATATTTTGAATTTGAATTAGACCAGTGTTTCCCAACGTGCGTAGTGGATTCTATGTTGATTATCGCATGCCTCTTACTTGCTATTCTGTAATTATTTATATAAAAGAGCAACACACAAGTTTCTTGCTAATTCTTCTTGTTATGAATCTGCGTTGCAAATGAGTGGTAGAATAAAAAATATGACTATTTAAAAGTGCTTGTAATGAGTTTATTTGAATAAATATTATTTCTATCCATAAAAAACTGTATATTCGCGTTATATAAGTGCCTAGTAGCTACTAGCTTTTTGCCCGCGTGTCGTTTAATTTATCCCTAGCATTTATAAACAAAAAGAAATGTTTCATTTATGCTGACGATATTGACATAGTAGGCGTTTGCTCTTCAGTTTGGCAAAACTGCAGAGCTTTGTATCGCTCCCAAGAATATCCTTTAATTCTTGTTCCTGACGGGTTAGTTAGCGAACTCTGAAAAAAGGTGACCGCAATAGGTCTATGTAGATTGCAGTGCTATAGGTCCAAAAACCTGACAATAGCCCAATCCCCCAATAAAAATAAAAAAATCTAAATAAAATTGGAGTGTCTGTTTGTAATATTGAAATAACCGTTTTTTACTATATGCATATGAATATAAATATGGCACATACACAAAATAACATTTTCTACAATTTTTGTCGGTCTGTCTGTTTGTTTGTTCCGGCTAATCTCTGAAATGGCTGGACCGATTTTGACGGGACTTTTTTTGGCAAGTAGCTGATATAATAAGGAGTAACTTCGGCTATTTTTATTTTAGAAAAATAAAGTTAAATTCCACGCCGACAAAGTCGCGTGTACAGCTGATTCTACAGAAAACATTCCTTAAATAAAAGTGCTTATATTAAGTTTATTTGAATAAAGACTACTTATATTTCTATCTCTGTCTTTATACAGCAATACAAGATGTCTGACGATATTGATATAGAGGAGCACGATATCTTGGAGAACCCTCACATCCAGGACATACTGCCGCAGATTGTGAAGGTCAAGTCTGAACCTGTGGACTTGGATGATGAAGGTAACTGTAAATCTTATACTCTAACCATTAACTTTTTACCAGATGTAGACTGCAGTTACATATAACAGTAATAATAATAATCTTGGACAATTCACACAGCGCCATCTAGTCCCAAGCTGCAGCTGAGCTTGTGTATAACTCGGCTGCAGCTTGGCTATTAACTGATATAAAAACTGGAAAACACTCAGGAAAACAACAGCACAACAATCATACTAATGAATACGAATAGTTTGCCGTGTGAGGCATCGAACCTGTGACCATTAGAAGTAAGGCGGTGTGCTAAACCGGTACACTAGAGAGCCGTCGTTAAACTGTAACTAAATAATGAACTTTTTATCAGAAATAAGCTGCAGTTATATATAATAATTATAATAATAATAATCCTGGACAATTCACACAGCGCCATCTAGTCCTAAGTTGCAGCTGAGCTTGTGTTATGGGTACTAGATAACTGATGGGGAAACATGAGGACCTTTTCGAAGGATAGAGATCCTCTCACAACAACTACCAACAACTCACCTGCTTGTAGTACCAGTACTGACTGCAAATAGGCAATTTCCAAAAAAGAAAACTCACGTTTCACAGACAACTTTACAATCTTCCTTGGTAGTATGAACAAATGTTAGTAATAACAAATTTAATGTTCCAGATTTTGAACAATATGACGACTCGTATGACTATAACATTGGTGAAGATGATAGTCCCCCATCTGAAGACACCACAGAGCAGATATATCACAGAAGCAACAGGATTATATTAGGATCAAAACCAGCGGTAAGCAAATTACATTCCGAAGTCAGGGTACTGTTAGAAGACTGGAACGACAGACTGGAGAGTAGTATATGTTACTGCAGACAATGCTGCAGACTGTTTGCCACTCGCAACGGAATCGACGCTCATAACATGACCTACCATTCATTTCTAGTCCCTATAGATAAGGAAACAAATACTGCAAGAAAATCCACAACTCATATTACAATAGGTAATGTTAAAGTTAACTCAAATACAGCCAGGAAAAGTACAGGATTCAACTCAGTATTTTCAATGAATGTAGCCCGGAAGAGCACACAGCCAATTTTTAATGCAGCTAGAAAGACTACAGCAAGAAAAAGCACAGTTAACCTAAAACGCAAAGCAAATACAGCTAGGAAAAGTACAGGTGCAACATTGGCGACTACAGCGCAGGATATCGTTAAAAATATTAACAAACAAAATATAAAAAATGCTAAATATTGCAATCACTGCAATAAACATTTCTCAGACAATACAGAACTGATAAAACATTTGTATGAACTAATAATATCGAAACCTAATCCGGTTGATACAAAAAATATACAAAAAGAAGACCAACCATCGTCATCATCAGAAACGTCCGGCACTCTCGGGCATTACTATAGGTGTTCTATATGCTCATGTTATTATAGAAGTCTAACTACATATAATTCACATGTAAGAGCCAATCATAATGGTGTTTCATTAACGAATAAGGTTAGTGAAGTACCTTATGTACCAGTATGTTGGTTGTGTAACCAAACATTCAAACGGTTCGAAGGTTACAATTCTCATGTGCAACATATTCATCCCGATGTTTATAGGAAATATGCTGATAACGTCACCGCTAAAATCTTATGTTCAATTTGTAAAGGTACTTTTGAAAATTATTCAGAAGCGAAACGGCACATAGCGGATGTGCATCCAGAGTGTACTAGTAAGCATATATTTAAGATGTTCAAAGTTAAAAGTAATGTGAAAACACTTGATGATGATAAGGAAGCGTCTGTTAGTCATGTAAGCAGTAATGGAAGCGGTAAATTCAAATTCCCAATCCCCAAATCTGTTCTTTTCAAGTGTAACAAATGTGACACACATTTTTTAACCTGTGCGTCCTCTGTAGGACACGCCAGTTGGTGTCGCTTAAACTCAACATTTAAGGTATCCCCTGTCCCATGCGACAAATGCAAGCGATTATTCAAACCCATCGATATTGATGCGCATTATAAGCAGCATTCCGTTAATGATAAGTTCAAAGTTTATTTAATTCACGACCATATGCATTCTAGAGTCGCTTACCAATGTCTCAATTGCTCTATGTACTTCGATGAAAAGAAATTCATATGCCACTTGCAGAATGGCTGCAAAAAATCCAAACCGGTACGGTGTACGATTTGCAACATTAATTTTCATTCAAATTGTATTAAATATCATAAAAAGATTCACCACATTAGGAAATTTATACGCGATGACTTTATCCTAATTGATTTTATTGATGATCGGAAGATTTTGAAGAGGAAGTTAGAATGGGGTGAGGAGAATTCACAGAAAGTTGCTAAAAGGGACACGAATGATCCTTATGTTCTGCTATATTGTGATACATGTAAATGTTACTTTAGGATATCAACGACTCATAGAAATAGACAGTTGCATTTGGACGGCGAATGCAGAACTAGCATAACACATCAGTGTACGCACTGTGCCCTAACTTTTAGAACTTTTACTTCCTTGAAGTTGCATACAGAAAACCATAAAGAATCGATTGGTGAATTGAGCAATTACACATTTCTTAGACTCATTGACGAAGAGCCAATAGTGCCTCCTCAACCAGAGTTCCCTTATTGTAAAACTTGTAAAGTTTACATTTTAAAACAACGTGATCACATATGTAGACAGGAAAATGTAAGGAAATGTAACATGTGTTATAAAAGATTCTCAGAAACAACTTACAATCTTCATTTACCGTACCACAAATATAAGGTGAGAGTTAAGGAAGAGATGGATGAGATGCCTAAACTTATGGAGAAATATGAATCATTAACCACTACGTGGAATATTTTATACACGTGCGAATCCTGCGATACAACTACTGATTCGTACGACAAAGTGATTGAACACTGTCAGAATCATTTTAGCCATTTGGAGCATTACGGCGTGACAATAAGGAATTGCAAGGTGTGCGATTTTAACTTCGACGAACCATGTTATTTGAAGCATCTTGAATTACATAATGCTCATCACACCATAACTCGCGATTCGTTCAGGATCTTGACGTTTTGTTACTATAAATTGTTTTCTAAAGACTGGATGGAGCTGTTTCGAAGCTTGTCGACAATGCAGATCAGGCAAATCCAATCTAAAAGTATACACGTGGCCATTGACGTTAAAATGAGGCTGTTAGCAGATGGTTTTTCCGAATTAACAATATATAAATGTAAGAAATGCAACGTCTTCGTTGATCCGGATATAGTATCCGATCATGTACATACCAAATCTTGCGGCAATTCCAATCAGTATGAATGTTCTATATGCTATATACCGTTCACAACGTTTTTGGGGCAAAAGAAGCATGAAAAATTACATGAAATTTACGGTGAAGAGAAGTCGTTCAGAGTGGTTGGTTTTAATGAAATTCAGGATGAAAAAATCAATGAAACTTTGAGAATGCATAAAAATGAATCGGAAGGGAATGTTAAAAAGAAACCTGTAGATTATAAAGGGAAAGAGAAAGTACCAAAGGTATCAGATGACTTTAAAACTAAGAAGAAGTATATGGTTTACAAATGCGTTAAGTGTATGGTAGCATTGTTTAAAAAGAAACTAACACAGCATGTCTGTGTGGAAAATGTCAAAAAATGTAATAAATGTAAACAGTACATCCCATCTAAACGATATTCAAAACATCTAAGATATCACGAGTTAGTACCAAAATTCACTAATGCTAATTTAGTAATAGCACTGTTTGATCCTGATAAAGATTACGCAATAGTTCGCCAACCTAACATAAAAGCGATAGCACCAGATCGCGAAGATAATGCGCCAGCGACTAATTCATATAAAGTTTTTGAAGTGTATCAATGTCGTTGTGGCCTACACTTCAGTTCGGAAATCAGCTTGGGTATTCACATAGATGTGTGCTCTACGAAGAGTGTTATATCTAAAGAAAATTGCAGCAAATGTGGGCTGTTGTTCCCTACTCAGTCGTTAGTCAGCCATCTTTGCAGTCACCACAGCAAAGGTGAGAGCACTATTGTAGTTAAGAAATTCCTAACATTTTACAGGTGTGGTTTATGTAAATTATTATTCATCCACATGTCAACACTCACCAAGCACATGAAGACTTGTAATTCGTCGGCAACGCCAATAAAATGCTCTCCATGTAATTTGAATTTCCATAGTCAAGTCATTACTGCGCACAGAGCAAAACATCGTAGAGTAAAGAATCTAGAGAAGAGACCTTTTGAAATTATAACTATCGATAGAAGTGGTAATGTAATCGATCGATTCGTGAACGAGACTCGCAAAACCAATGCAGATAACAAGAACCTTAAAACATTGTACAGGTGTAGTCGCTGCGATGTTCATTATTTGACATTAAAATCTTTGAGATACCATATGGACATAAAACACATTATGCAAGGCATTAGCACCTGCGGTATCTGTCATTTGAAATTCAGTAGACGATCGCTACCAAACCATATGAGAACACATCACACTCTACTTAGATGTAGACAAAAAGACTTCAATATTATTAACGCATCAAGTATGTCAGATTATCAGTCTTTAAGAAAGGAACTGCTTGAAAACGAGAGGAATGATCTATTTCAATCAAGCGATTCAAATGCAGCTGTTGAAATGCAACAACCTGCTCCTAATTTAAACAGGAAATATACATATGTGCCTCCATCGCATTTAGATATTAGCCAATACAATGAGAATCTTTATAAATGTTCCGTCTGTTCACTGTGCTTTTTGATACCAGGTTCATTAGTGAAACATCAGTATAAAAATGCACACGCAGAATCGCAATACCAATGCACGATTTGCGGACATTACTTTACAGCACAATCGTTGTCTCGCCATCAATACATACATCATACAAAATTAAAAATCAAGGAATTCAATGTCATTGTCGATGGTGATGGTGGAAATGCAAAACCAAAGACCAAACCTAAGAAACTTAATTCTGAAACATCGGACACTGAGTGTAATGATACATTGGAAAGTGAATCTGTTGAGACAGATAGTAGTTTATACGTTTCTAAAACAAAAGTAAATAATAAAGACGAAATATCAATTGATAATTCGTTATTGGAATTAGACTTGAGCCAATATAGTGATAATCTATATCAGTGTACAATCTGTTCTCTATGCTTTTTAAGGCCCACTACATTAACACGACATCATTATACATCTGAACATAGACAAACAAAGAGACGATGCTTGCAGTGCGGCTACTGCTTCACAAAACAATCATTGTTAAGACACGAATACGTGCATCATCAAAAAATGTGCGTTAAACAATTCAACATTGTAACGCAAGTAGAGGGAGTTAAATTAAATATGAAGATTGCGAAATCTAAAGATACATCAACAGCTTCAGACATGTCTATAGATTACAAGGACTCAGTAGAGAGCGAGTCGAATGTTTCAATTCTGACGCAGAACTCGTCCGACCAAAATGTAATAGATAATCCGACGAAGCGTCTTCGGACATGTTTCTCGTTATCAGAAGCTGTACTTTCGAAGCTAGATGTTTCAAGATACAGTGAAAAGCTGTACAAGTGTCACCTATGTCCATTACACTTCCTTAATGAGAAAGCGTGTGACAGTCACCTGAGGACGTCTGATCACAAACAAATAGTTATTAATTGTGGCACTTGTGGCTTAGAATTCACTCAGTTTAGTCTTCCCCGACATCAGTATATTCACCATGAAAAGCTAAATTTCAAACGGGATGATTTTATTATTATAGTTACAGATTTAAATCCGCCAACGGTAGAGAGTGAAACTAAAGAGGTAGCTATTGCACCAAGCGATATAAAACAAGAAAATATAACCGACGAAGATGATAAAGAAACCGTAGTGTCACAGAGTAATACAGTAGAAACTGTAGAGCAAGATGACAGTGTAGTTTCTAATAAAACAGCGGAAGAAACGCCTAGAAAATATAAAATAGAATTATTCAAATGCGGAGATTGTAATGTATTCTTCTTAACACGGAAGTACTGCTGCCAACACACATACAATCATAAACCGCTACTGGCTAAAGACTACATTGAGTGTAAACTGTGTGGATTTCAATTTAAAACGGTCTCTCTGTTTTCACATATGAAGAAACACCATAATTCTGACTTTAATTTAGAGGATATACTAATAGAGGAATATCGGCAAGATCCGAATCTTGGGATACCCCGAAAAGAAACTTATTACGCTGACGATAGGGATCAATCTAGATTAGTTAGCACTACCGCTGACATTAATGAAGTAACTGAAAGTAAGAGCACAGACTTAGCAAATACAAACCATAATGTTCATACAGAGACAAAAAGTGATAATAGTCACGATGATAATGCGGTAGTAGAAGAAGTTTCAAATACTGAATTCACAGATGTAAATATTAGCACAGATAATACTAATGCTAATACAAATGCGGTAAGAGACGAAAATTCGAAAACAAAATCTATCGATCCAAATGCTGACAAAACTAGTGAACATATAGAAGATAAATCCAACAATATTGAAAAAGATAAATTAAACAATGATGAAGAGGAAAATAATGTAGTCTCTGAACCAAATCTTATTAATGAAACAGAACATATATGTGTCCCAGAACCAAACCTTGTTAATGAAACAGAACATATGTGTGTCCCAGAACCAAACCTTATTAACGACACAGAACATATGTGTGTCCCAGAACCAAACCTTATTAACGAAACAGAACATATATGTGTCCCAGAACCAAACCTTGTTAATGAAACAGAACATATATGTGTCCCAAAACCAAACTTTGTTAATGAAACAGAACATATGTGTGTCCCAGAACCAAACCTTATTAACGACACAGAACATATGTGTGTCCCAGAACCATACCGTATTAACGAAACAGAAGAAAAATGTGTCCCAGAATCAAACCTTATTAACGAAACAGAACATATATGTGTCCCAAAACCAAACTTTGTTAATGAAACAGAACATATGTGTGTCCCAGAACCAAACCTTATTAACGAAACAGAACATATGTGTGTCCCAGAACCAACTCCTAATGAAACAGAAACTTTAAGCAATGCTAATGAACCAATCGACAGCAAAGAAGAAACAGATGATAAAATATCCGATAATAGAACAGAATACGCTACAAATTGCGAGAATGTTGTAATCAAAACTGAAGCGGCTATCAGATGTAATTTTTGTACGGAGACATTCAAAAACCAACGCACCAAAGAGTTCCACGAGAGTCTAGAGCACTTGGACGAGCCGCAGAACTGTCGCATATGCTCAAAAAGTTTTAATATATCAATTCTGAAGGAACTACACTTGTCTATAAAAGACAATATATTTACATGTTGTATTTGCAATAAAAAAATAAACGTAAATGAAATTAATGAACATAGTGTGGAACATAGAAATTTCGATGAAAATACTTGACTATGTAATCCATTTTGTCTATAGCAAAGGACATTAGGTTTTCTAAATTAGTTTATGATTATTGACATCATAAATGATATAAAGATTCTTGTATTTAATGTAAATACTTTAGAATAAATTAGATATTAATAAATATATGTCTTCACGATTGTTGTTTTTGAAATAGAGGCAAAGCACTTGGTTTTACAAGAACAGCTTTGATTTGCACAAATTCAAATTAAAAAATCACTTATTCATGTAGGACATTTTAGCCGCTTATGAACGTCAAGTTTTTATATTATATTTTTATATATTTCGGTATATATGTATATCCAACTGAGAAGAACTGGCAAGAAACTCAATTGAATTACTTTTTTTTTAAAGCCAGTTTATTTACAATGTATAGGTATTTATATAGGCGTCTATGTCTAACATTAAATGAAAATCCCGTGCAGGAACAACTATTGCCGTGCACGCTCGTCATTCAAGTAATCGTTTAGTTAGTAAGGCTTTGCTCAGTAAATATGATTTAACAGATGTTTTGAATTTATTTAAGGGTAATTCCAATATATCCTTTGGTATCTTATTGTAATTTTTTATACCTATTCCCATAAAAGACCTATTGACTTTTTCTAAACGATACTTGGGGACATCCAACAACGTACGAAGTGTAGATGTTAGCGCTAAATTATAGAATAAGGGTACCAGTGCTTGTTGATTATAAAATAGATTTATTTAATAGTTTAATAGATTTTTTCTATATATAAGAATACTACAGTATTTATGGACTGAGTCAGCAGCTCGTGACACCCTGGTGTTGTCCATAGGCTACGGTAACCGTTTATTATCAGATGGGCCGTATGCTTATTTGCCACTATCATATAATAAATGTGATTTTGTTATAATACCAACTGATTTATTATATAACTATCAACCCTAGAAATGTCTTGACATAATAGAAATAATGTTAGTAATAACCCTGAACAATTCACGCAACGCCATCTAGACTCAAGTTAAGTTAGCTAAAGCTTGTGTTATGAGTACTAGACAACTGATATAAATACATAGATATTATTTGTTTGTAAATACATCCAACCATTTATTAGCTATAACATAAGCTCTGCTTAGCATGGGACTAGATAATAATGCTAATTGTCATGGATTATTAATAAAACAAATGGTTGCAAGAAAAATCATTTTAATATACGTTTAACAACATTTTTCGCGCCTTTTGCAAGCGACCATCTCAATAAATGATTTGTAAATAATTATTCTATATTTTCTAAGAATTATTCAGTTTTTTTTTATAATAAATACTATTTAAGAGTATTTAATTTGATTCTATTACATATGTAATTTAATTGTATCAATATTTGATTTAGGTTATGTCAAAATTGGCGGGAAATGACTGATTGCTGTGTGGTTTTCCCTGATTATGAAATGAGTATTATTGTTTTTTTTATGCTTAATTACAACTTAGTGTTACGTCTTATTTCACTAATTTATTCGTAATTACTTTTTTAAACATTCGATAAAGTACCTAATACCAGTCACTTTTTTTTTATTAAATTTATAATTTTTGTGTGGCGTTCTTACTTTATTTATAATATATATTGCGTAATAATATATACGGATGTAAACCTAATCGATTATAGTGAAGAAAATTAGTTAATAAGTCGATTTTAATAATCCACTAAATCGATCGATTTAAGAACTGAAGATATTTTGCCTGCCAAACTGTAAGAAAATCATTCACAAATTAAAGGCTTTTATAAAGTTACTACGTTTAAAATCGACAATTCATTGTAAAAGTAACTAACATTGTAACACGAGAAAACATTGCCTTGAATCACTCTATCTGTCAAAAAAAATCGCTTCAAAGTCCGTTGCGTAGTTTTAAAGATTTAAGCATACATTGGAACAGACAGCGACAGCTGTATGAGTAAAAATATCTGTAAATAATTAGATTGTTAATTAGTCGATTTATTAGTGGATTAAATTGATTTTTATAAGAAAACTAATTGACTTATTATATTTATAATCGACAATTTTGACATCCCTACAGTTTGTTACCTTTCTAGTGTCGAGTTCCGTACGAGCATAATTCATTAGTATATTAAAATCGATGTAATTGTAAAACTAATCGACTTATTATATTTATAATCGACAATTTTTACATCCCTACCGTTTGTTACCTTATGTGTGCCGTATGAGCATTATGGACTATAGTAGTTATATATCCATGGTTTATATCGTAATTTCTGATTTATTATTAAATATTGTAATTGTACCTTATTTGACCGCGTTGCCGGTCAGTAACTGTTTGACAGTTGGTTTTACGCATTTATTTTGTAAAATTAAATTTATTTAAAAAAATGTTGTTTTAATTTACCTTTTTATATAATAAAAGAAAGAAAAATATATTTATTTGTCGCATACAGAACAATCATACAACATATTACAAAAATTATAAGTAAGTATTTTAAGAATACAGCTGCGACCAAATTGGTTTCCACTCAGCCTTGTGTCTGGGCTATAATGCCCAAACGCTGATTTTCAGTGGAACCTTGTATATAATTGGAATTACAAACAAGCTCACCTGATGGTAAGTGGTAACCGTCGCCTGTGTACATGAACAGTACTACGGACTGGAATTACAAACAAGCTCACCTGATGGTAAGTGGTAACCGTCGCCTGTGTACATGAACAGTACTACGGACTGGAATTACAAACAAGCTCACATGATGGTATCGCCTGTGTACATGAACAGTACTACGGACTGGAATTACAAACAAGCTCACCTGATGGTAAGTGGTAACCGTCGCCTGTGTACATGAACAGTACTACGGACTGGAATTACAAACAAGCTCACATGATGGTAAGTGGTAACCGTCGCCTGTGTACATGAACAGTACTACGGACTGGAATTACAAACAAGCTCACATGATGGTAAGTGGTAACCGTCGCCCGTGTACATGAACAGTACTACGGACTGGAATTACAAACAAGCTCACATGATGGTAAGTGGTAACCGTCGCCCGTGTACATGAACAGTACTACGGACTGGAATTACAAACAAGCTCACATGATGGTAAGTGGTAACCGTCGCCCGTGTACATGAACAGTACTACGGACTGGAATTACAAACAAGCTCACATGATGGTAAGTGGTAACCGTCGCCCGTGTACATGAACAGTACTACGGACTGGAATTACAAACAAGCTCACATGATGGTAAGTGGTAACCGTCGCCCGTGTACATGAACAGTACTACGGACTGGAATTACAAACAAGCTCACATGATGGTAAGTGGTAACCGTCGCCCGTGTACATGAACAGTACTACGGACTGGAATTACAAACAAGCTCACATGATGGTAAGTGGTAACCGTCGCCCGTGTACATGAACAGTACTACGGACTGGAATTACAAACAAGCTCACATGATGGTAAGTGGTAACCGTCGCCCGTGTACATGAACAGTACTACGGACTGGAATTACAAACAAGCTCACATGATGGTAAGTGGTAACCGTCGCCCGTGTACATGAACAGTACTACGGACTGGAATTACAAACAAGCTCACCTGGTAACCGTCCGTAACCGTCGCATACATGAACAGCACTACGGACATCACGTTATCATGTGATACACGTGATACCACTGTGTTGTCATTCTAGAGGACCGTAGCAGCTTACAAAGCAAGTCTGCTTTATAGGTTATTCGATATAAGTTTAAGCAGTAAGAAGTGCCTCGGTGGTCTAGTTGTTAAACACATGGTCTTACTTCTGATGGTCGCAGGTTCGATTCCTCACACAAGTCTGACGACTACCGATTTAGATGGGACTTTCATTCGCAGATAGCTGATAATGTAACTGAGATCACTCTTATTTTAGAAATTGTATTTAAATAAAAAATATTCAGTTGGACGGGGGTAACAGCTAGTCTATACATATAAATAAATTGGAGTGTCTGTTTGTAATATTAAAATTACCGTTTTTTACTACATGGATATGAATATAAATACGGTACATACACCAAAATAACATTTTTAACAATTTTTGTCTGTCTTTTACGGCTAATCTCTGAAATGGCTGGACCGATTTTGAAGGGACTTTTATTGGCAGGTAGCTGATAATAAGGAGTAATTTAGACTACTTATATTTTAGGAAAATGAAATTAAAATCCATGTGAACTTGGGTAACAGGCAGTATCATATAAAAACACAAATTAGAATTAAATTATTTTATTGAAATAATTACAATTGTGTAAACATAAATCTAAATATATATAACTCAAAGGTGACTGACTGATATAGTGATCTATCAACGCACAGCCCAAACCACTGGACGGATCGGGCTGAAATTTGGCATGCAGGTAGTTGTTATGACGTAGGCATCCGCTAAGAAAAGATTTTGATTAATTCTACCCCCAAGGGGATGAAAATTTGTATGAAACTTTGTCAATCTTAAATCGGGCTGAGACTTTGCATGCATAAAGCTACTATGACGTAGGTATCCCCTAAGAAAGGATTTTGATAAATTCGACCCCTAAGGGGATAAATTAACGCGAGCGAAGCCGCGGGCAAAAGTTAGTTATGTAATATGCAAAATGAATAGTTTTCTATATGTATATATAAAATTAGGAAATATCACAAGATCTTAAAACGTTTTATATATTTTTATTGAGTTCCCGATGTCGCGTACGAGCAGCAACAAAACGCAATACAAAAGGAACTCGTTCTGGTTCGTGCGCACACCCATCCAATTTAATACGTCAATCGCCATGCCGGTCATAGGCACAGTCTGACGCTACATTCAGCCGCTTCCCATGCCAATCGCGCTGCCGGAAATATTGCCGGGCGACAACTGAGCGAGAGGGCTGAATGTAAAAACATGCTGCCACTCGCGCTGCCAGTTCCTTGACTCGCGCACGAAAAACCGACAATAGAAAGAGCCCCGGGCAGCGCGAGTGGCAGCGCCAATGGCATGGGAAGTGTTTCCACTCGTGATTACTTACACTCTCACGCTGCTCACTAACCTGCCCACTCGGGC